AGTGTTATCCCCTTCTTGTACAGGGCCTCTTGTTCTGGTAATGAGTGTTAACCCCTACCTGCACAGGGCCTCTTGTTCTGGTAATGAGTGTTATCCCCTACCTGTACAGGGCCTCTTGTTCTGGTAATGAGTGTTATCCCCTACCTGTACAGGGCCTCTTGTTCTGGTAATGAGTGTTATCCCCTACTTGTACAGGGCCTCTTGTTCTGGTAATGAGTGTTAACCCCTACCTGCACAGGGCCTCTTGTTCTGGTAATGAGTGTTATCCCCTACCTGTACAGGGCCTCTTGTTCCGGTAATGAGTGTTATCCCCTACCTGTACAGGGCCTCTTGTTCTGGTAATGAGTGTTAACCCCTACCTGTACATGACGTCTTGTTCCGGTAATGAGTGTTATCCCCTACCTGTACATGACGTCTTGTTCCGGTAATGAGTGTTATCCCCTACCTGTACAGGGCCTCTTGTTCTGGTAATGAGTGTTAACCCCTACCTGTACAGGGCCTCTTGTTCTGGTAATGAGTGTTATCCCCTACCTGTACAGGGCCTCTTGTTCTGGTAATGAGTGTTAACCCCTACCTGTACATGACGTCTTGTTCCGGTAATGAGTGTTATCCCCTACCTGTACAGGGCCTCTTGTTCTGGTAATGAGTGTTATCCCCTACCTGTACATGACGTCTTGTTCCGGTAATGAGTGTTATCCCCTACCTGTACATGACGTCTTGTTCCGGTAATGAGTGTTATCCCCTACCTGTACATGACGTCTTGTTCCGGTAATGAGTGTTATCCCCTACCTGTACATGACGTCTTGTTCTGGTAATGAGTGTTATCCCCTAGCTGTACATGACGTCTTGTTCTGGTAATGAGTGTTATCCCCTACCTGTACATGACGTCTTGTTCTGGTAATGAGTGTTATCCCCTAGCTGTACAGGGCCTCTTGTTCTGGTAATGAGTGTTATCCCCTACCTGTACATGACGTCTTGTTCTGGTAATGAGTGTTATCCCCTACCTGTACAGGGCCTCTTGTTCCGGGACTTCCAAGGTTGGTTGTACTGTAACTGCCTTGTCTGATGTGGCTGGGGAGGTTGCCAGGGAACGGACACTCTGGCCCCCATACTTGTGTCTGACCAGGAGCTGGACACGGCACACGAGCTGCTTGCCTCCTCTTGCAATATTCTGGAAGGTCATAAAACTGTATCATCAAAGACCTACCAAATATCTAGATATATCTGGGGGTCTGGGTGTGTATGTGTGCGTGTGTGCGTGCGTGCATGTGTGCCTGCGTGTGTGCGTGGGTGCATGCGTGCGTGTTTTGCTTGAGGAGGTGGTGGTGTGCATACTTATTCATAACACTATGTAGTATGGATCTCGCAATCTATTCAGGGTATGTAATTTTTTAAATATGCAGTAGGACACGGCTATAACAAACACAGAGAGAGCGAACAAACAAACACAGAGAGAGTGAACAAACGGATACAACCAACTGTCAAAAAATCCCCGATTTATCTCCTAAATATTATCACATTAAATTTACATACATAACGAACTTTCTACAGCGAACTAACAGATAGAGCAGCTGATATCTGATCACCGACAAAGCCCATCTACCACTATTAAGTGACGTGTATAGCGAACTGAGAAATCTCACTCAGTGTCAAGTGTCACTGACAATTGGCCGTATGCAATCAGCAGCGAATCAACACAATTGCGGCGAATCAACACAATCACTGGTGACGATTTGACCTTGTTCAACTTGCATCATGTTACTCTTACCTGTCCATGTAATTGGACTAATCTTATCTTGGACTACTGTTGTGGTTCTTATAATTCTACATATATGTAGTGAAAGCTGTAACTGAAATAACACAATATTGGAATATATTTTTCCGATAAAATAATAATTTCAGATACAATTTCTTCCAACCATTGCATCAAAATGTTTTGAAGATGTGGGAGGAAATGTGTATAAACATGTATATTGTGTATTGTTTTAGCCCAGATGGTGGACGTTTCCGAGTGAAAATGTATATAACAAACAATATATATATAACAAACTGATGTCTCCGGTCCCTTGTAGTTGGTTATATCCATGTTCTACTGTAGCTAAATTAGGTTTTAGAATTGTGCTTTGGGGAAGGAATTACAGACAGATAGAGTGAGTGAGTGAGTTTGTTTTAACGCCGCTTTTAGCAATATTCCAGCAATATCACGGCGGGGGACACCAAAAATGGGCTTCACACATTGTACCCATGTCGGGAATCGAACCCGGGTCTTCGGCGTGACGAGCGAACGCTTTAACCACTAGGCTACCCGACCGCCCCACAGACAGATAGAAGGCAATTTCAGAATCAAATGTTCATCATCGTGTTGTTGGATTTTTGTTAAAAAGTGAATTAGTCACATGACACCACCCTCGTCTTTTCTAAAGTTGTATTTGAGCAAGGTGCTTATATGTCTTATTTTTTAACATTTCCTAACAAGAATCAGTTTTGTTTATCATCTTGAGATAAATATTTCTCTCTTCTAATGAAAATGAGCAAACGTAAAATGAGATAAGATCCCACGCATGCTATAAAAGGGTGTTGGCGATAATTGGTGATCAGTGATAACTGGTCGCTGCCAGTTTACCTCCATAAACACAAACGATATGGAATTCTTAAAGGGCCAGTACACCAACCGTTCTCAAGCATTGTTTGCAAATAATAACCAATAACTCTCAAGCGTACTTATTCTGCAAGAGAAGTTTCTTCTCCAGCGACCACACCGCAGGTATAGGCTTATCACATGACTGACCTTTTCTCTTGTTTGTAAACAAACACACTTATTCTGAAATAAGAACAGACGGACCTAATGTAAGCCTTTCGGTTCACTTGACAAATTGTTTTGCATAATTATATAGATTTGCTACTATAACTGGGACAGTGAGGTACATGACAATAAAGTTTTACATGTCAACTTGACCTAATCGGGGGCTGTGAGGGCAGTGGAGCCAAACATTTAGGGCTGCAATGAATACACTGTGAGGCGAATACGATACAGAACATGAATATAGGGTAACGAATATGAACATTAATTCACGATTACAGTAAGAGGTCATCAGTTGAAGTATTATTTATTATATTCAGTGAAACAATAACAAAATAAAATATTTAACATGGTTTGACCATGTTGACATGAGTGAATCGTAACAGCCCTACCAAACAACCAATGTAAATAAAGGACAAAGACACGTTTTCGGATATTTTCTCAATGAAAGTTTCATGACATAGGTTTGACATAGGAATGAAACAGAAAAAAAACAAACATATGAAATATCTCGAATGGACTGTGTATAACGTGATGATGTGGCCACAAGGAACTCTGGGTAGGAGCAGCATTCAAAATATACGCCTGCCCGTAGTCTCATGGCAGGTAGATTTTGTCGGGTTTGTAGTTTCAAATTTGTAGGTATCCTAATGGCCTGCAGAAAATGTATGTGTCAAGGTATTTATCACGATAAGCTGCATTTTTTCAAATGAGGACCTGAAAAGTTTAGTCAGGGCCTGCAGCTTTTCTATTATAATCTTGCCTTTGATAAACACTGGCTTTTAATCCAATCAATTTGGCAATTAGTACTTTGTAACTCAATCGTGTGAAAATCACTCGTGCAAGAATTCATGCAGTATACCAGACACGTTCCGTCATATGTTGAGGGATATTGCACAAGCTAATTCTTTAGTAACTGTATCTTAAGTTTTTCAGAAATGATTATTGTTGCCTCGCTAATATAACGGGGGACTTGGGCACTTGCCGCCAACACAACAGCTTGAATTAAATGTTTTCTGAAGTAAATGTATTGTTTAATTATCAAAGTAGATACAAAATATGTGTTTGCTGAAATGTGGCTCCAATGTGAGTCACTGATGTGATTGTTGCATGCCATTATGGAACTTCTCTTTTATAGTACTTTATCGATATTGATGTCTAGGTTTTGACATTAATGCATCGCTTTAATATTCATTTCAAGGTTTAATCATATTTAACCATACAAATGCTAGCAGGGTAATATTTTCTGCTTATTTTGTGCTTTATCATCCTATTTTTCAAATAGTGATGCTGTTGTGTGCGGCTTTACTGGTACTAGTAGCATCAAATAGTGATGCTGTTGTGTGCGGCTTTACTGGTACTAGTAGCATCAAATAGTGATGCTGTTGTGTGCGGCTTTACTGGTACTAGTAGCATCAAATAGTGATGCTGTTGTGTGCGGCTTTACTGGTACTAGTAGCATCAAATAGTGATGCTGTTGTGTGCGGCTTTACTGGTACTAGTAGCATCAAATAGTGATGCTGTTGTGTGCGGCTTTACTGGTACTAGTAGCATCAAATAGTGATGCTGTTGTGTGCGGCTTTACTGGTACTAGTAGCATCAAATAAACATGGCGGATAGGTGTCAGCTATAATGCATGTGTACCAACACTTGAGGTTTCTCTTCAACTTGCCTCTTATAAAAACATGTCTGAAGCAGAATCTTTATGAGACTGTGTTTTGGAGTAGATCTATACTATACAATTTGTACTTATTTATATGTACCGATATATCAATCATGCTACAGTCAGTGCAATCAATTGTTGTCAAAATCTGTATCAAATTATCGCCCGATGCTGTCGTGTTTTATTTCTTTCATCATGCATTCTGCTATTCATCTGCTGGTTGCCAGTGTCACTTTCAATGTCAAAATATGGTCTGGCTAATACATTGCCAAGCAAAAAGCACATGCGTTTACGGGTCAGGTGTTCGTATCGTTTCAAAACGGCATTCCAAACGCAATAACACAAAATAGTTGTTACTTTTCCCGTTTCAAATCGTAGCATATATTGGCCCAAGACCCCGGCTTCTCTTCGAAGCAAGGAGGCTGCCATCTTTTGCAAGTGCTTCAGCGCATAATGCGGAAGCGGAAATAGAGACTGTCCTTCACCTTAAATATATTTTGCGGGAAAATTGACACAGTTATAATATATTGTGTTCATTTCATGTTTAGAGAAGATGACTCTGTGATCCTTTTACTAAGCATGGATCCGTCAGAAGTAGAATTTTTGGCCGAGAAGGAGTTGGTCACGATTGTGCCTAACTTTGCGCAAGATAAGATTTATCTGATCAGTGTAAGTAGCACAATGTTTTCCAAGTTCTGTTATGGAGTATTTTCTAAGTTCTGTTATGGAGTAGACCAAGTGCATGTTATGGCTGGGACGGGTCCGAATTTACTACCCGGGTACCCACCACCCTATTACCCGACCCTACCCGGCTACCCGCTGTAGATGTTTAGGGATAGGTACAAACTTCCCGATTTGGAAACGTTTGACCGTAGCCCTGGCAAAATGTATTTAGATACACGTGTAAAACGATCCGCTCGTGCACAGGACCATGTAACTAATAGTAGTAAAAAAAGACCCCGAGCTTTTTTGCGAGTTTTTTTTTATCAGTTTTATTAGTTAAATGGTGTTGTGGATCATGCATACACTGATGTTTCATTCATGAAGTTTTATCTTTATTCAAACATATAAAAGTCAGAAGGAATGGGTGCATTGTCTGAAAAGAAGAGTTTTAAATAATTTTTGTCATTAAACAATATACAATATATCACATGACTAACCATGGGTCCAGGCAGTCCTGTGGGTACCCGCATCCTACTAAGAACTGACTCACAAGAGTCCTTTTGTTCATCATTTTCGGATAAATATTTCTCTCTTCTAATGGAAACAAGCAAAGGTAAAATGAGATGCGATCACATGCACTATAACATGGAACTGGGGATAATTGGTCCTCAGTGTAACGGGTTATTGCTAAAATGGCACATCAGCAAAACAGCACTGATTGGCAAAAATGGCACCTCGTCTAAAGCGAGAACGGCTACTATTGCCTGGCGAAAACGGCACCTTATTATTTTTTTTACCTTGGTTCTGAGATACATGAAATTAAAATCACATGGTCACTTGCAAGCACAAATAACTGTGAAATGTTAAAAAAAAGTTTACATCAGAAACTAGCCTCAACTCGCCGACTCTTATTTGGAGGCGAACTAAACTTATTGTGAAAACATTACATGCTTTGAAGTAAAATAAATGAAATTAAACTCACATGGTCACTTGCACACACAAATAATTGTGAAATATTAATTGCCTTAAAACAAGTTTACATTAGGAATTAGCCTCTACTCCAATTTACTCACCGACTCTGATTGGGAGGCGCAACTAAACTTATCGTTGAAACATCACATGATTTGAAGTTTTAAGTACCTTTACTCAAATTAACTCAGTGTCAAGCTTAAACTGAGTCTGGCGGAAATGGCCCAAGAAATTGGTGCCGTTTTGCTGAGGTGCCGTTTTAGCCTGCACCCAGCGATAACTGGTCGCTAGCCAGTATAACTTTTCCTGTGGTATATATTGGCATCAGTTAGAGGCATACACATGTAGATTCTCGTATTCAGATCATTACATGAAAGATGGACTGTAATTAAATTACTACAAAGTTACACAGCCAAACTACAGTTAGGCCCTAGTGGACATAAGTATTTGTCACCTTACAAAACGACAAATAGGGTTAGGTACCGATTTCTGATCAAGCATCTTTGACCTTTGGGTTAGGTACCCCCTTGCAATCCTAGGGGTGTGTTGGCCAGGGTTAGGGTTAGGTACCCCCTTACAATCCTAGGGGTGTGTTGGCCAGGGCCAGGGTTAGGTACCCCCTTACAATCCTAGGGGTGTGTTGGCCAGGGTTAGGTACCCCCTTACAATCCTAGGGGTGTGTTGGCCAGGGTTAGGTACCCCCTTACAATCCTAGGGATGTGTTGGCCAGGGTTAGGTACCCCCTTACAATCCTAGGGGTGTGTTGGCCAGGGTTAGGTACCCCCTTACAATCCTAGGGGTGTGTTGGCCAGTTGGATTGGTCTTAGGACTGTAACATATGTTGCTGAAATTTTTTTGTGTCATAAGCATTGTGCCATTATTTCATGAACTACCCCTATTTTGTCAGAAGTCATTATTGCAATGAATGCAATGTTACAGTTCAATGGTGAGATACCTCTGAATTTAGGAAAATAAGAACTTTTAAAAAAGTGGAAATTGCCAACCAAAGAACATTTTTATTTTTCGGTTTGCCTGCCAAGGGCACTTAGTTTGGAAAGCCCCTGTGGTCCTGTGGTAAAGTGTTGGCTAACAAGAATGACACATTCAGAGCTCCAGATAAGCTGCGTATCTGCGTGAAATACGCATCAGAAATGCGGAAATATGCAGTAAAATTTAATCCAAGCGTATCAAATACGCAACGAATATTACAGATACGCTACAAAAATAAAACTTGTGCGTATCACAAAAATATTGTGAAGTAACCCTGCGTATTCGATTAGCAAATGAGCAACTTATTTTGAAATTAGAAGTTGGCATTCCGTCAACCTTGCCAAACTCCACGATGACAGTCAGATCATGATCATTTGCCATCACACTTTCTTGTGGAAGTATCGTGGTATTTTTGAGTCCTATAAAGCTCTCGAACCCACACGACACCAGTTTGCAGGGACTAGATGAATAGTCTTTTTAAATATTTAACTTAAATACCCACATGTGTAAAAACTAGTGGGTAACAGAAATTTGAATACGCAGATAGAATTACTTATACCCAATGATTTTAAAATGCATGGGTAAAATACCCACAACACCGAAAGCTTATCTGGAGCTCTGCACATTAGCTTATGTTTAAGTTGGCAAGGCGTGTTGGATCCTCCATGTGGCGTTAATTGAAAACTGTGGAAGTGAGCCCGAGAAAGTGCAGTGCTCCCTGAATTCAAATTGTTGGTTAAAAAGATCTTTCTCTTCCAAATGTAGAAGTAATTGTTTGACAACTATGAGTGGAAAACTGTTACAATCGTGTGCACCCATATTAAATCTGTGTGAGACACGCCTAGTGTTGGCCAGTTGCGTAATGTGCAGTCACAGGCCCTGCCATGTCCGCCGGCCTGAGCGCCACATACAACACAGCCATCGTCATCACTAAGCAAGTGGTCTCTGGTTTGTGTGATAGTATTTGCTATGTATCCAAAGTGTAATCAGAAGTATTTAGGTCCATGCCCAGTTATGTACTTAGATTCTTTGGCATGATTGCGAAAGCTCAGTGCTTATTAAATAAAATAAATTTTATTGTTGGAAATTGGCTCTGAAAATCCAACACAGATAGAGCAGACGACACAGATACAGCAGACAACGCTCTCTCCAAACTTTCAAAGACAATGTTGACACATTTCTCCAGGAGCTTGATCAACATAAACAGAAATCAGCTGTTGCTCCACTTTCAAGAAAAGACAAGCTGGTTACAGAAAAGTCAAGGTCATCGATTTCAAGAACCTCATCGGCAAGAATGAAAGAAGAACAAATGAAAGCAGAATTGATAGCAAACGAAGAAATTCTTGAAGAAAAGGAGAGAATTGAACTTGAGAAAGTGAAACTCAAAATGGCTGAAGAGAAACTTGAAATTCACAGACAAAAGTTAATGAGTGAAGCTCAATGCAAGGTCTTGAATAAATATGAAGATGAAAGCGACATTTCTTCATGTGACCAAGGTGAAGGTAACCATGGAAACGTTAATCAGATTCCACCAAGTGGGTTTGATACTGACATTGACATACCCAGGTAATTCGACTAGATGACGAGGGACTTCACACTCTGTTTTGTGAAGTAGAGACTATTGTGAACAGTAGACCAATTACGACAGTGTCAAGTGACCTTGAGGACCTGACTCCACTTACACCGAACAACCTGTTGATGATGCGAACAGGAGAGAGTCTGCCACCAGGACTCTTCACCAAGAATGACTGCTATATTCGCAGGAAGTGGAGCCAAGTACAATACCTGTCAGACATGTTCTGGCAAAGATGGCACCGAGAGTACCTGACGACACTTCAGGAGAGACAGAAGTGGACCCGACAACAGAAAAACATTGCTGTTGACGACATCGTGTTGGTTATGGACAACCTTCCTCGGAATGCATGGCGTCTTGGACGCATAGTGGAAGTGTACGCTGACAAGAAAGGACTTGATCGAATCGTAAAAGTGAAGACTGCTACTACAATGTTGACACGCCCAATAGACAAATTGTGTGTGATTCTCGAAGCAGACTGTGACATGCACAAATAATGTGATTGTGATTGGGTTCGAAATAGACTCGAAACAGAATAGGAGACTGTTTAAAGTCTTTCGACCATTTCTAGTGAAAACATAAACTTAATGTGAAATGGACACTTGTGTTCATAGCAACATGACTGTTGCAAAAGTGAAAACTGCTGACGCTTTCAGAGACTTTTGAAATTCATTGTGTTTTGTTTGTATTTTTTGAAGATATGTAATAATTGTTTTCGTTTGACTGCACAATTAGGGGGTCGGTGTGTAAGGTTTATGTTTAAAGTTCCTATTTATAGACTTGTAACTCTAGTATTTTGTTATGTGGCTGAGTGAGAGGCACGCTCGTGTCTGTTGTCGAAATGCGGAGCGTATAAAACGGTATGTTAACTTTATTTGTGTAAACAATTTAGTGAACATCTCTGTTATTATGATATCTAACGTTTAGAATTGAATTTTTGGTAAAATGTTTTTGATAGATTATTTATCGAAAAGCAAATTTGTGTTGTTAGAATCATTTTTTGCATTAATTGACTGCTATAAACATTGTTGTTTTATTTAATTTTGCAGTCAATCCTATCCTTCTGAATATCTCGACCATATCTCGGAATAAATCGACGGTTGGAGAGGAATTGTCGTTCGCTCTTAATTACACTGTCTTCTATCTTCTCCTCCCTGGCAGATGGTGAAGCCAGAAGTAGACCTCACTCTTACCAATCAAGAAAAGTCGGATACCAATCCTTTGGTATATCGATATAAACAATCATATAACCAATGATAACGCTCCAAACATAATTCTCACAGGTCCATTTTTACAGACGGGTCCAAGAATGGTGGCAAAGTTGCAAGTGCCACCATCACTGGATCCAGAACTGTCTCCTCAAGAATCCCAGATTTTAGTTCAATTTTTACTGCTGAGGCCAAAGCTATCCTAACAGCTTTGACCTATTTTCAACAACAAAACCAATCAAAAAATTTCATCATCTTCTCTGATTCGTTATCTTGCCTTCAGGCACTCAAAAGTGTCTCACCATATCACCCTATTATCCTTGACATTTTAGAACTCTATAATGATCTTTCCACTGGCCAATGTGACATCGTCTTTTCCTGCTTACCAAGTCATGTAGGCATAACTGGTAACTCAAAAGCCGATGCTGCAGCTAAAGCAGCTCTTGACGAACCGTTATCTCCACTTCTTATCCCGTACAGTGACCAACCATCAAATCTTATACTCGGGATCTCACGCAAAAGAGGTGGGACACCCAAGTAGGAAGCAATAAACTACATGAATTGAAACCAACAATCGGTCATACCTACTTGGGTTGTCAGTCAAGACATGATGAGGTCATTTTACGACAATGTCATATTGGCCACAGTCGGATTACACACGAATATGCTTAAGACAGATGAGGATGAACCTCCTAAGTGTATCCCTTGTGATGAAGGGTTCACCGTTAAGCATATATTGCTTGACTGTGTGGACTTTGCAATCGCAAGGGATTCACATGATCAAAGTGTAAATCTAAAAGATCTCTTCCCGTGTCAGCGGGCATCTCATCATAAATTACTTGAAAGAAATTGGTCTGTATCATAAATTTTAAATATGTAAGTGAATAATTAAATACTTGTTTTTAACTTTGGTGTGATGCGACTATTAACAGACATTATTGAAGGCTCTGTCCAGGAGGTTAAAGTACCATAAAAATATTGCCCCCCTGTGTGACACGTAATCCTATCATAATCAATGTAACTATCATCAACCAATGGTTTTAAGCCAACTCATTGATGAGTATTTTTTAGTATTGGCTAGCATTGTGCACAACCACAAGTGGCTAAAGTGATGACGTAAATCCTGCTGGGGTATCATGCAGGAAGCAGAGGTACTGTAAGTCCCCATGATCCCCAGTGAGGTGGCCTATAGCCCGTGTTTTAAAGCTGTATATATAATATTGTTATGCTCAAATATGTTTTACAACTTGTTTTTAAACAAAACTTTGCATTAATGACTAAATTGTAAATATATTAACTTGGTCTCGTCGCTATATGGCTGTTAAATTTTAACTCACTCACTCACTCAATTTTTGTCAAGCAGTTGTGTTTAAGTAGGCCTTAAGTATTTACATCTGCAAAGTTATGGCGTAGAGTAGACTTGCCCTGTCAGTAATCTCCTGTCCTGCTGTTACGGGCTGTCCATGGCTTCCTGTTTGATTGTAGGGAGACGTCGGCCCCTTCGTCCCAAGCATCCCCCTCCAAGTACCACTGTGGATGGCAGTCAACTTGAAGCAGCGTCAGAAATGCAGAATCCTGCCCCCAGAATGGATGGATATAGGTTGGTATTAACCATCTGTAATAACAGCAATGACTGTCGACTTGTATGGATCTGTCCAGTCAAAGTGTATACGCTTACATGAACTTCATGGAAATAGTATCTCGTATCTGAGATAAAATGTTTAAGAATTATGCAAGTTGTTCATTTTCACTGTCTCAGGAGTGTAGTATTGAAGTGATTATCATTTCCAAAATATACGGTTGTCATCTACACCCTTCTTGTACTAAGCATATTCAGTGCCACATTTGTTTGTAAGTCTGTGTGGAAGTGTGCAAGTTTCTAGAGTGCGTTGGACTGAAGCTGTTACTCTGATACAGTGATCCCTCGCTACAACGCTACCTTTGGGGTATAAATAATTGATGAGTGTTATAGATGATCCAAGGTTTAACGGAGGTCGAGTCATACGTGGTAGATGACCAACAAAACAGTATACATGCTCTGCCTACCTAACACAAGTTTTAAAAAAAGATTAGAATAGAAGTTGTTTATGTTTCATAGTGTAAAAAAAGATTTAATGAGTATTAATATGCCCTTTCCAAAAAACACATCGTATCCCTTCTGCGAATTCAGGTGAATAAACAGATATTACAAACTTGGTCAATAAAAGTATGAAATATGATATAAAACATCTTAGACAGGATGATTTACCATTTAAAATGTATTTCCTGCTCTCGAAGGCATTGTTTTATATGCAGAGATTAAGATTATCATGTGTATTTTCTTGTTAACTAAGCTGGAAATAGCAATCAGCTGTGCACACCTTTTTGATGCAATGGTCAGAAGAAATTGTGTCTGAAATTATTATTTTATCAGGAATAATATATACGAATATTGTGTTATTTTAGTTACAGCTTCCGCTATATGTGTGTGTGTGTGTGTGTGTGTGTGTATATATATATATATATATATATACTTAAAATTATAAGAACCAAATGTGTAGCACTTTGGTACAGGTGGTACATGTATGTAGGATATTTTTTTATGTATGGAACAATTTGACCAGTCACTGTAGGCACTTCCCGCGCTACATGTATTTCAATTGCGAAAACGTTGTTGACATTTAATGTCAAACTGCCTCAAATATGACTTTTAGCGAGTGTTTCGTGATTGCAGTGATCAGCTGATAATGTTTTCTGAGATGGGGGAAAACATTGTGTCATTGGAAAATTGGAGTTTATTAAAAATGTTAGTAAATTTTGGGAGCCATGCTTTACCGCGCGCTATAACGGTGTTAGCGCTATATTGAAGAGCACAATAGCAAGGGAACACTGTACAAGGAACCTGCTGTATCAAGATCGGAGGTCGCATCCTCAGTGAACTTAACTGCCCAATCACATGAAGGTTGTGTTGGTTCTGAGCCAATCAGATGCCATCTTTCTAAAATGATTTGGTTTAAGCTCACCGGGTCGGAATGCCATACTGTGGCGTCCAGCATCCGTACGTCAACAATTCATTCAAACGACTTCTTTTTCTGAACCACCAATTGGAAATTAACAAAATTTGACTGGAAGCATCCCTAGGTGGTGGGGATTCAAAATTGTACAAATGGTTGGCTTGACGCCTCAAGTGTCTGAGGGGCGGGGCCAATAGGGGTAATTTGGCTATATTGCTTTAAATGACTTCTTCTCTGGAACTAAGAGATAGATATTTTGGTGAGGATTCAAAATTGTACAAATGGTGGGGCTGACACCCTGAGGGGTGGGGCCAAATGGGGGTAATTTGGCAATATTGCTTTAAATGACTTCTTCTCTGGAACTGAGAAATAGATATCAACCATATTTAGTTGAAAGCATTCTCCGGTGGTGAGAATTCCAAATTGTACAACTGGTGGGGCTGAATCCCCAAGGGGCTGAGGGGTGGGGCCAAATAGGGTAATTTGGCAATTTGGCAATATTGCTTTAAACACCTCTTTCTCTGGAACTAAGAGATGGACATCAACCATACTTGGTTGGAAGTATTCTCAGGTGATGGGAATTTACAATTGAACAAATGGAGGGGCTGAGGGGCGGGGCCAAACAGAGTTTAAACCTTGGACACAGTTAGGATCCCCGCCGTATAACCATATGTACAATTGCTGAGTATCATGAGAGGAATGCACATACGCTACGAAGACTGGCCCCCTTTCATCTGTCCAGCACTCCCAAAGGAATTAGAACCATGACCATAACATGCAAACCGATGTTATCCCCACCCTAATATAAACACATACGTTGTATACATTTGTTTCTTATGAAGAGAATAATACATTAATGCCAATAGGATTTGCCGTGGGGTCCAGCTTTGCCTCTGGAAACTTAGATCCTGGATCATAACATGGAAACAGTTCAGATCTTTATGCTACATTTGTATCGAGAGAAGTACACATTCATGCTGTCAGATTTGCCATCCATCCCTTTAAATGCTGTCAGAGTCAAAATTGCAGTATCATATACATGCACAATGCAAATGTATATTTTGTCATGATTGAGTAAATATCCAGGTGAGTGATACATGTAAATATACCATTTTACCATGACAGATAGGATAAGTATTATACAGGGATGTGAGCAGGTTTTCCCGGAAAAAAAGAGGAAAAGTCTAGGGGGGTTTTGGGGGCGTGTTTTAAATATTTGACTGCATTTTTGTCCCCCGCCGCGGGAAAGTGCGAAGCGGGGGATATAGTATTCACGACTGTCCGTACGTCCCACCTGTTTGTTGCCGCGATATCTCAAGAACTAAACACTGGATTGTCTTCATATTTGGAACTATGGTGTATATACAAATTCCGCAGACGCCAGTCGGTTTTGGTGACCTTGACCCCATTTTCAAGGTCACAGCAGGCAAATCTGCTTTTGGAGTTGGAAAACGGTGTTGCCGCGATATCTCAAGAACTAAACACTGGATTGTCTTCATATTTGGAACTATGGTGTATATACAGACTCCGCAGACACCAGTCGGTTTTGGTTACCTTGATCCCATTTTCAAGGTCACAGCAGGCAAATCTGCTTTTGGAGTTGGAAAACGGTGTTGCCGCGATATCTCAAGAACTAAACACTGGATTGTCTTCATATTTGGAACTATGGTGTATATACAAATTCCGCAGACACCAGTCGGTTTTGGTGACCTTGACCCCATTTTCAAGGTCACAGCAGGCAAATCTGCTTTTGGAGTTGGAAAACGATGTTGCCGCGATATCTCAAGAACTAAACACTGGATTGTCTTCATATTTGGAACTATGGTGTATATACAAAATCTGCAGACACCAGTTGGTTTTGGTGACCTTGACCCCATTTTCAAGGTCACAGCAGGCAAATCTGCTTTTGGAGTTGGAAAACGATGTTGCCGCGATATCTCAAGAACTAAACACTGGATTGTCTTCATATTTGGAACTATGGTGTATATACAGACACCGCATACACCAGTCGGTTTTGGTGACCTTGACCCCATTTTCAAGGTCACAGCAGGCAAATCTGTTTTTGGAGTTGGAAAACGGTGTTGCCGCAATATCTCAAGAACTATCAACTGGATTGTCTTCATATTTGGAACTATGGTGTATATACAAATTCCGCAGATACCAGTCGGTTTTGGTGACCTTGACCCCATTTTCAAGGTCACAGCAGGCAAATCTGCTTTTGGAGTTGGAAAACGATGTTGCCGCGATATCTCAAGAACTAAACACTGGATTGTCTTCATATTTGGAACTATGGTGTATATACAAAATCCGCAGACACCAGTCGGTTTTGGTGACCTTGACCCCATTTTCAAGGTCACAGCAGGCAAATCTGCTTTTGGAGTTGGAAAACGATGTTGCCGCGATATCTCAAGAACTAAACACTGGATTGTCTTCATATTTGGAACTATGGTGTATATACAGACACCGCATACACCAGTCGGTTTTGGTGACCTTGACCCCATTTTCAAGGTCACAGCAGGCAAATCTGTTTTTGGAGTTGGAAAACGGTGTTGCCGCAATATCTCAAGAACTAATCGCTGGATTGTCTTCATATTTGGTACTATGGTGTATATACAGGTGGGGGACATTTCGTCACTTTGTGACAAATACTTGTTTTTAAGCAATTTCGTGCAGTTTGGACAGAATTCACACCAAGAAATGTAATAAGTCAATGGCAAAAGTCAATAAGTCAAATAAACAAAGATGGCGGATGCAGTAAAATTTCGAAGTTAAATCAGTACTTTAAAAAAATCAGGCATAGCTTCCGCGCACCCGGCTACCTGCCAGGTCTGGGAGCAATACTGCCATAAACTTCACCCCCCAATCCCCCAGACACAAGGACAACTGTCACAAGCATGCAATGTCTGACCCTTTTCCCCTGTTGAAGCACATTGGAAAAAAAACTTAGTTACTTTGAACTTACTTACCTTTCGTTGAAAAAAAACAAAAAACCATTGCAAACATGACATTAATACAACATAGATCCCCGTGTTATGAGTTTTCCTGACCCTGAAGAAACATTCATAGTTTTTTTGCTAATCACATGAACAACTGTAAAACATCTCAATCACTTATAGGCTAAAAGACAACTTTATCTTAAAAACAAGCTGAGTATGTACAATTTCTGTGTGACGCCACACCCCACGTTATAGTGCAAGTATTCATGATAGAAAACTTATGATGTCTGAAAACCTATGATGATGCTGACAGCTCTGATCAAAAACAGGACAATCCGCGATGGTTATCCGGTTTTCGATAATATTTTTTGGAGTGTTTTTTTTATAGTCTTTTATTAGATTTTTACGCGGAAGATGATTTTTTCTGAGGACTAATGTTTTAAAAAAAGTGATTTTCTGCATTCACATCCCTGATTATAAATATACCATTTTAACATGACAGATAGGATAAGTATTATGAATATATCATTTAACCATGACAGGTAGAATAAGTTTTATAAATATACCATTTTACCATGACAGATGGGATAAGTTTTTGTACCATTTTACCATGACACATAGGATAAGTATTATAAATAATCTTTTTTAGCTTATGTAACTTTTTCTGATAATATGATTTCCTGTTTCAGAAAAGTTAGAAGAAAAGAAACAAGAGGAAATAGATTCCAAGTTCTTCACAGCGATGCCGAGCCGGTTCTACATCGAGGTCACCCAGCTGCTCCTGCAGTGGTGAGAACTGTTTGTTTGTTTGTTTGTTTGTTTGTTTGTTTGGCGCCACACTCAGCAATATTCCAGCTATAAGACGGTGGTCTGCAAATGATCGAGCCTGGACCAGACAATCCAGTGATGGCATCATGAGCATGCACACAACTGGGATACGATGACATGCATCAACCATGTCAGCGAGCCTGACCACCTGATCCCGTTTGTCACCTCTCACGACAAGCATGGGTTGCTGAAGACCTATTCTACCCCAGATCTTCACAGGTCTGGTAATAACAACTTCATCACAGAGAGGGGAAATTCATGGATGTCAACTTTTAAGCTTACTCCTTAGTTCCTGAAACTCTCATAAATGTCACTTCTAAATGCCATTGAAAGACTTGATGCTTCAAAACGAATATTATCACGTGTGGTAGTTAGTAGTTACGTGGCCAATTTTGAACACAATGTAATGAAATACATGTGTAGATATTAGTGGGTCTCCACTGTTTAGCCACAATAATGATATTTATAAAAATAAAAATAATAATAATCCTTTAAGCTTTTTGCTTAGCAAAGAGGAAGGTTATCATCCTGGACCTCCTCAGCACAGATCATCTTTAAGGTGATCAGAAACAGAAGAGATTGTCACAGTTGTAGAGGGAGATTATTCCACTCTGGGGTGGTGGCGGATTTCTGATTTCAGATTTCTGGTGTCCCCTGTCGTGATATTGCAGGAATATTGGTAAAAGCGACGTAAAACCATACTCACTCACTCACTATGATACTATCTGGCAACTCGCGTTGTAGCAAATTGTACTTTATGATCCAACAATTGGCATTCATCCATAACCCAGATGACGAGGACAGCTCCTTACGCCTGGTTAGAGCCCTCCGCATCTACCTTGAGGCTGCGGCGTCACTTCGACACATCTGCAGGAGACTATTCATCCCTCCAAGGCGGCCGCCACGGATGTCTCCTACCACAGTCTCCTTTTGGCTCCGCTCGACTGTCCTTCAGGATTGCCTCCTCCAATTCACATGAGACTAGCCGTTGTCTCAACCATGGCCCTGCACAGCAACTGCACCGTCCGCTGTCATGGAAGGGCCGTCACCGATGTGGACCTTTGGTCCTGCAGCCCAGTACTCTGTGCCCTGCACAAACAGAATCAATGTTGGAATGTCCCTCCTGTGGTCATTGTTATTCAGGTTTCCAGACTCCCAGTGCATGATGAAGTGACTCATCTGTAGAGACTCCGGTCTTCAACATCAATGTCGCCACAAGGTGTGGCTCTTTCAGCAGTGTCCCAACACTTTACCTGCTCACCTCTGCTTTGGGCATGTAATATCTCAGTGTCCCAACACTTTACCTGCTCACCTCTGCTTTGGGCATGTAATATCTCAGTGTCCCAACACTTTACCTGCTCACCTCTGCTTTGGGCATGTAATATCTCAGTGTCCCAAGCCTTTACCTGCTCACCTCTGCTTTGGGCATGTAATATCTGTGTCCCAAACCTTTACCTGCTCACCTCTGCTTTGGGCATGTAATATCTCAGTGTCCCAAACCTTTACCTGCTCACCTCTGCTTTGGGCATGTAATATCTCAGTGTCCCAAGCCTTCCCTGCTCACCTCTGCTTTGGGCATGTAATATCTCAGTGTCCCAAACCTTTACCTGCTCACCTCTGCTTTGGGCATGTAATATCTCAGTGTCCCAAGCCTTTCCCTGCTCACCACTGCTTTGGGCATGTAATATCTGTGTCCCAAGCCTTTACCTGCTCACCTCTGCTTTGGGCATGTAATATCTCAGTGTCCCAAGATGATGTCGAGCATTCCTCTTCCCACTATAGCACGCTTCAATCACTGTGGACTTGGCTGATAGCTTTGATGGAGAGTTAAGAGATGCCAAGCTCGCTCTCCCTACTGTCCGTCGGCCTAGTGGTGTGGTCTGTCTTGTAGAACTGATTGCCTGCACACCACTTCTGGATTGGTTGTGTCATTAAATGAATAGATCTCTATTCTGTGCTACATGGTCGTTCATGTTACGATGTCCTACATGAAAACACGTAACACCTTATACAGATTTCATGTAGCTACGTCCGACTAGCGTAAGGGGCTCATATCGCCTGTTATGGTGTTTTAACCCACTCACGAGTTCTTGTCTTTACGACACTAGGCAGTGTTATAACTCATTGTTTGTGTCACTGTTAGTGTTAAGCACCAGTTTCCTCGTGTATTTCTCACGGTTGTAGTCTTATACAGACTAGGGTATCTGCGACCACCGTCCAACCGTGGGATAAATGCATAGTGTGAGATAGGATAAGTGTTAAACTTTTGTACATTTTACATTTAATTGTATATTTATATACTTATCCTATCTCACACTCTATCTGCCCTCCCATCCATCCTTGCATCAGAGCTCCTCTAGCCTATCAGCTCTAATAAAGAGAATGATTTGGCAGGGGTAGAGAGGTGATCAGGTCGTGTAAGGTTACAGTGCATGACCCATTTGTTTGGATGGTTACCATGGTAATGCTGGGATGTGTTCAGGTGAAATGTCTTTAAAGTTGGAAACTTTGTTCAAGCACGTTTTCACATAATGGTCGAAAGAAGAAGAAAGAAATGTATAGCGTGAAATAAGATATGTACATAAACATTAAATTTAATGTAAAATTGATAATATTATTGTTCGAATCCCTATCAGCCACAGATGAATTGCCTACTGTTGACATTGACTGACAGATTTTTTCAATTAGCCCTGTTTATATCAACAATTATTGGCCAAATACTCGATCTGGCTCTAACATGTAATCAGTGAATGAAGTTAGGAGTGAAGCCTCTATGACTGAAACGCTTTCCATTCGACTCCCATGTAAACACATCGATGATGAGTACAAAATATGTTTTTGCTGAAGATAAATAATTTGTATGGAATGGAAATTACAGTTTAAGTTCAGTATAGATTAACTTCTTAATTAGAATGACAATTCTTGGAACAAGCTTTGATTCAAACACTTTCTCGTTTCTCTTCTCCGCTACTGTCAGCCATGTTTCGTGCACTGTGATGACAGTGAGTTTAAGAGTATTTCGGTGAAACGCAGAACATAACATACGTGACAAAATGTGTTTGGTTGCCGATGCTGTTGGTTCCAACAGCGGCTGTGATTCCAGTCCATGTCACTGTTGTGACAATAGTTACTGCACTCACATTTGCTTACATTAATTCCAATAATGCTTCCTTTTGTTCAAATGGATAGGAAGCCTGTCATTTCTTTTTGTAAAAATGTTATTGTGAAGATAGAAGTTTTCAGACAACCCTTTTACAGTGATTGAGACTGACAATAATGAAGTCAGTGTAAAGTAGGCATTAAATTGTTTTGGGCATTACAAGAGTTCAGTTTTGCGAATTCTAAAACTGCCGGTATTCCTGATGTGTGTTGTAGTGCCACAGATGACATCCCGCGGGCTGACGAAGTCCGGACGTTGATTAAAGATGCCTGGGATCTGAGGATCGCCAAACTCCGCAGCAGTATCGACGTCTTTGTGAAGAGTGACGCCACGCATGCTAAGGTGATTCACTGACTGTCCTTATATAGACAGGGCACGGGTGGCCTAGTTGTCTAAGGCGCAGCAATTCGATGTGCAGCGTTGTGTCCCTCAGGCACGAGGAAATTTCTAATTGTGGGTTCTAATCGCAGTTTGACCTTGTTATGTTTTTAGCTTTGTCAGCACCATGCACATGCTGGTGAGTTTCACCAAAGTGGTAAACATCTGAGACCTGCATCACTGAGCCCACTCACTCACTCCTAATATAGACTGTTGACTTAACAGTCTACGTAAAGTCAACAGTCCACGTAAAGTCAACAGTCTATGTAGACTTTACGTAGACTGTTGTCTGTACATAGACTGTTGACCTAACATAGACTGTTGTCTGTATGTAGACTGTTAACTTTACGCAGACTGTTGAATTTAAGTAGACTGTTGACTTAACGTAGACTGTTGACTTTACGTAGACTGTTGCCTGTATGTAGACTGTTGACTTAACATAGACTGTTGTCTGTACGTAGACTGTTGACTTTACGTAGACTGTTGACTTTACGTAGACTGTTGTCTGTACGTAGACTGTTGACTTAACATAGACTGTTGTCTGTATGTAGACTGTTGCCTGTATGTAGACTGTTGACTTAACATAGACTGTTGTCTGTACGTAGACTGTTGACTTTACGTAGACTGTTGACTTTACGTAGACTGTTGTCTGTACGTAGACTGTTGTCTGTACGTAGACTGTTGACTTAACATAGACTGTTGTCTGTATGTAGACTGTTGCCTGTATGTAGACTGTTGACTTTACGTAGACTGATATCTTTACGTGGAATGTTGAGCATATATAGACTGTTGATTTACTTAAACAGTTGTCTTTACATCAACTGTTGTCTCAACATAAACAGTTATCTTTACCTAAACTGTTGTCTGTACGTAGACTGTTGTCTTTGCGGTCTTTACCATGTTTACATAAACTGTTGTCTGTACGTAGACTGTTGTCTTTGCGGTCTTTACCATGTTTACATAAACTGTTGTCTGTACGTAGACTGTTGTCTTTGCGGTCTTTACCATGTTTACATAAACTGTTGTCTGTACGTAGACTGTTGTCTTTGCGGTCTTTACCATGTTTACATAAACTGTTGTCTGTATGTAGACTGTTGTCTTTGCGGTCTTTACCATGTTTACATAAACTGTTGTCTGTACGTAGACTGTTGTCTGTACTGTTGACCATGTATGGACTGTTGTCCTTGTATGTCCTTCATGTATGTACTGATAGTCTTCCGATTTACCTGTGAGTGGGACTTGTGACTGTTGTCTGTACGTAGACTGTTGCCTGTACGTAGACTGTTGTCTGTACTGTTGACCATGTATGGACTGTTGTCCTTGTATGTCCTTCATGTATGTACTGATAGTCTTCCGATTTACCTGTGAGTGGGACTTGTGACAATCCTGTGGAAAGTTGCCATGAGTTGTTTTGTGTTGAGTTGGACTTCAGTGCAATGTGACATATTTAGCTAACCTGGCTGACAGTCAAAGTGTCTGTCATCCACCGTCCTTTGTGCGTCATCCATCTTGCACTGTAAACAAATATTCGTGAGACGCCACTGGACCAGGAGACTGTAAGCTTGTTTTCACCAATGATGATACCTCAATTTGTTCAAGAGCTTTGAATCCTATTTTCACGTCGCTGTTATAACAGCCATATTAAAAAATGCTCTTGTGTCCATTTTTGTTCAAAATTTAAGGAAATTGGGTATGGGTTTAGGTAGGAGGAATCTTAAATTCTCTAAAATCCTACAAAAAGAAAATATTCTCTGGCAGTAGTTTTAAACCCTTACTTTTTATGCTTTGTTGACATTTTAAACTGTTGACTACATACCATATGACAATCTTCTGCATTTTTCAGTTGAACTTCTTGACATTAATGGAGATTAATGCGGGTCGTCCATTCCTGACCAAAGCCCTGGACCAGATGCACCTCCTCCGCTCCAACCTGACAGGAGGCGGAGTCAGGGCGACACAGGATTGACACAGTGACATTCAGGGGTGCCTTGTGCCCAACCTGACAGGAGGCGGAGTCAGGGCGACACAGGATTGACACAGTGACACTCAGGGGTGCCTTGTGCCCAACCTGACAGGAGGCGGAGTCAGGGCGACACAGGATTGACACAGTGACACTCAGGGGTGCCTTGTGCCCAACCTGACAGGAGGCGGAGTCAGGGCGACACAGGATTGACACAGTGACACTCAGGGGCGCCTTGTGCCCAACCTGACAGGAGGCGGAGTCAGGGCGACACAGGATTGACACTCAGGGTTGCCTCCTGTGCTCAACCTGAAGATGTGTTATCAGCGACACGCGGAACTGATGCTCTGCCATTAAGATGGTGTAAAGTGATTCCTATTATGTTTCAACTATTTATGGACTGTTGTGCACTAAACCTATTGGCAAATACTTCAATGAAGCCACATTTGTTAAGCAGAAGATTTTCCTCATGAGTTGTCTCCCTTCCACCAGTGAATTATGTGTACATAAAGTGCTGTTGTAATGTCCTCTTATGTTGATGTTCTTCAGTACTCCCAGACTGGATGACGGCAGTGGTTTGTTGTAATAGGGGGACAAGTTCAAACAAGACATGACCTCCTTGATTGAGGTGGATTCAGCGTCTGCCCAGAGAGCAGAAGGTTGTGGGTTCCATCCCTGACCGCGTCATACCAAGACATTTAATAGATGGTACTTGTTGATACCCATTAGCGGCTAAAACAGGGACTGGTCATCTTGGAGTCAGTATACTGTGTCTGAGTAGGGTATACTGTGTCTGAGTAGGGTATTCATGTTAAACTCCGGCATATCTCAGTGGGCTAGCACTATAGAATCGGCATTAGTCCGGACTACTACAAGCAGACAAACACACACACATGCATGCATGTCACTTCATAAATGCAATAAATCAAGAATGCAACGTTAAAACTCCATTTCACTCCCTGTTAGAAGTTGTCAGTACATTACACACAATGCAGTGTTCATACTAGTTGTCAGCACAAGACACATCAGTGTGACTGGATCCATCAATATGTTCCCACCATCAATCCCTGGATCCAGACAATGCTCCCAGTAACAATCCCTGGATCCAGACAATGCTCCCACTATCAATCCCTGGATCCAGACAATGCTCCCAGTAACAATCCCTGGATCCAGTCAATTAGGAGATAAACCTACTGTGTTTTGAAATTTGATGTAGTCCCACTGTAGAGTAGATACCTCTTTATTTTAATTTTGAACCGAGCACTTTAGCCATTCTACCATGACGGCAACAACGCTTTGAAAACGGTGCTCTCTTGCAACGTGTTGTAATACAGGTGCACAGGTCCGCAATCTTAGAACATTCTGAAAAGTGGTCACAGGTAATTATATATGAAACAATGATCACTAAAGTTCAAGATTAAAAACACCATAGTCGTGAGTAGTTCATAATAAGTGGTCAAAACACATAGGTTTTCAAAATAAGTTGACAAATAACACTCCAAACTTAGTCCAAAGAGAGATGTTTTAATATCTACCAAACTGTTGTACACTGTGGACTGACTGTCATTTCTCAGAATTTTTCGAGACGGTCATTTCTTGGAAATCGAACATGTCATCATTTCTATTGTAGGGGTGACAGGTTACAGAAAAAGGTTTTAAAATGCTAAACGAATATATATTTACAACAAACTTTATGAATTAACATTCTTTTATATATTTAACATGTGTAAGTGTTATTAGTTAGTTAGCAATTACCCCCAGTAAACAATAATAAAATCAAAATAAATGCCTCTCCACCCCGAACTTGGATGTGGCAGAACTTGACCTAAGTCATGGTTACACACACATCCCAGCTGTCAATGGCTGACAATCTTGTGTTTACATTCTCCGTTACGAGTTATAGAATGAAGCAAGATGACAACCCCGATCTATGATGTGGTTCAACATTAACATGTAGATTATCTGGGATTGATCGAGCCTGCTGGTACATCCATGATTACCAATGTGACTGAGTATGACTGAACAGCCGCTTTTAAGGCTGCAGATGAGCAGGATATTTTGAAACGAGGAATCTGCATAGTGTGACCTGTCAATTTCACGGATCCAAACCCGGACAGTGACAGAACTTAAACATTTGTGGCCCAGCAATAGTGGAACGTTTATGTTTTTCGTGATTGTGCGTGTTCTGAAATGAATTTCATCAAGTTTGATAAGCTGTCACTTCAGTTGGGACATTGTTTTCATGGACTTTCAAAGGGGAGTGTTTTCTGATAGAATTTGGCAGGAGGGGATTTGAAAGTCCAACAGTGGCGGTTGATGGAGATGGCAACGAATATCGATCACAAAAAGGTTTGTAAACAACAAATTGTCATGAATGAAGCTTTTTTCAAACAATTTTTATAATGTTATATTTTACTTTCATTGTCGGTTATTTCAATGAGAAAATAGCTTAAATTGTTCCGATTCTGGTCACCATAGAACATTTCTCTAACAGTTTCATAAACATTTCATTTGTATGCAAAAGATATGCCTTTGTTAAATCTTTTAATGTCATCATCGAAGCAGTCAGGGTTGCGGCCTAGAACACCCCAAACATCCGATATCAAACTACCGTATTTCCTCTATTTGACACTACGCCGTCTATTAATTTCGCGAGTGCCCTTGACTGGGTGTGTATTAGAGACCTGGCTGGTATTAGAGGAAATAAAGATTCGTTTTACAGTTTATATGGCGGTGAGTGATCGACAGCCATTTTTTATGAATCGATATGTAGGCTTTCTATGTATTCATGCGCACGTTTTTTGTGAAAAGGCTTAATATATTTGAAAGGGGTTTCCATAGCAAAAAGGAAACCTCTTTTTAACCAATCAGAATCAAGCATTCATCAATGTCATGGTAGAATGCTCCCACTATCAATCCCTGAATCCAGACGATGATCCCAGTAGTCCTGTTCACGGCAATGTAATCCATTTCATGATCAACAAACACTTTGTACATTAGAAGGATAGTTTTTAATGCTTTTTTTCCAGGAAATGTGACAGGAATGTGGCCTACAGACTACACATCAACACGTTGTAGAAACAATTAGGAAACATACATGGATGTCAGGAGTGACTCGCCACACATCGCTACTGTCTACTACACAGAATCATAAATAAACAACGCCGCAGCCTGGTGCTGCGCCACAGATGTCCACACATTCAAGCTTCAGAATCCCAGTTTCCCATTCCTCCACATGTAATGGGTTATGCATGGACACGCCCATCAGCAACTTGTAGAACTTGTACAGGGAATCAAGTTAATGTTCAAAAATGAATATCTGGTAACATTTGAATAACATTTGAAATTCTACATGGAGACTAAATTTGACTCAAAAATAATATATTGCACAAATATTTCAAGAAACAAATTTCATAAAAAAAACCTCAGCATCTTTTTCAATATATAAATAAGACAACAAGAAAGTGTTTTTCAATTACTTGGAGAAACTTTCAATGACTCTGTGTTTAATGTTTCAATACCTCGGGATGTAACGTTCCACTACATCATGGCTACTTGCTGCAGCTCCTGCAATACTTTTCTTCACATATTGCTCGGAATAACCAATAATACTATTGCATGTTGTACATCTCCCGAAAAGCTGGTAAACTCATTGTAAATAAATAAACAGAAAATACCCCCACTATGTTTACGTTGTCATTACTCAGTATCAGCTCATCCCATTTCTCCAGCAGTGTGTACACCTCCATGTGTCTGGCTGGGACATTCATCAGCTTCAAGACTTACTCACAACTAACCAGGATTAAAGGTGCTTGCACATGTGCTCTTCCAGTCACAGAAATGACCCACGAAAGTCACATGTTACCTGACAACATGGTCACATGTTATCTATCGTAGCCTAATCAAACAAGGTTTCCAATCACAATAGTCCATATTTTCTTCGTTTCTTGAATTAATTTGTAAAGACACAAACATGATTTACACTGGGGGTGAACTCATAAATAAATTATTTCATGAATCAACTTATTTTTACTTCCTATAATCTGAACAGGTGTGTAGCAATAGTCACTGTCTGAGAATAAGGCGGTGTGTGTTTGTGCAAGTCATCACTGAAAGGGACAGAACTCTGCTAGGACATGAACTGAGACAGCTCAACTATCACATGGTGCCGTAAGGCCGCGGGGAATCACAGATATGTCGATGATGTCATATGTGTCACCCAGACACACACGATGATGCCATAGTTGTCACAGACCTGTACACAGTCTCCCTCCTGCTGTTCAAGAACACTTCCAGCTGTGATATGTCGCAACTTCCACATTTACGTCAGTAACAACAGTTGCTGTGATGAACAAGCAGACATGGCAATGCCATGGTAACTGAGTATTTATCCATTGCTGCCATCAGCGTGGAGTTAGTTTCCATGACGATGAAAGAGAGTGACTGATGAGAAAGATATGAACATTGCTGAATTTGATCCCGTAGAAATTGAGTAGTATTTGACGCTGTTGTCACGATGCTGACAATGACAGAGGCGTGCGTCGCCGCTGACGCCAGCATCACCTGAGGTACTTGAGACACCTCTTCATGTTGTCTATTGCACTCTGAGCCTGGACTCGCTCCCCCTCCCCACGCTGCTTAGCATCCAGCAGACCCTGAAACACACGTCAAGTCTGTGAGACACACATCAAGTCTATGAAACACACAAGTCAAGTCTGTGAGACACACAGGTCAAGTCTGTGAGACACACGTCAAGTCTGTGAAACACACACGTCAAGTCTGTGAGACACACAGGTCAAGTCTGTGAGACACACATCAAGTCTATGAAACACACAGGTCAAGTCTGTGAGACACACAGGTCAAGTCTGTGAGACACACGTCAAGGCTGTGAGACACAGGTCAAGTCTATGAAACACAGGTCAAGTCTGTGAAACACAGGTCAAGTCTGTGAAACACACATCAAGTCTATGAAACACACATCAAGTCTATGAGACACACGTCAAGTCTATGAGACACACGTCAAGTCTGTGAGACACACGTCAAGGCTGTGAGACACACGTCAAGTCTATGAAACACAGGTCAAGTTTGTGAAGCACAGGTCAAGTCTGTGAAACACATCAAGTCTATGAAACACACATCAAGTCTATGAGACACACGTCAAGTCTATGAGACACACGTCAAGTCTGTGAAACACAGGTCAAGTCTGTGAAACACACACGTCAAGTCTGTGAGACACACAGGTCAAGTCTATGAAACACACAGGTCAAGTCTGTGAAACACACACGTCAAGTCTGTGAGACACACAGGTCAAGTCTATGAAACACACAGGTCAAGTCTGTGAGACACACAGGTCAAGTCTGTGAGACACACATCAAGTCTATGAAACACACAGGTCAAGTCTGTGAGACACACACGTTAAGTCGGTGAAACACACACGTCAAGTCCGTGAGACACACAGGTCAAGTCTGTGAGACACACATCAAGTCTATGAAACACACAGGTCAAGTCTGTGAGACACACACGTCAAGTCTGTGAAACACACAGGTCAAGTCTGTGAAACACACGTCAAGTCTGTGAGACACACGTCAAGTCTGTGAAACACGCCAAGTCTATGAAACACACAGTTCAAGTCTGTGAAACACAGGTCAAGTCTGTTAAACACGTCAAGTCTGTGAGACACACACATCAAGTCTGTGAAACACACGTCAAGTCTGTGAGAAACACATCAAGTCCTTGAAACACACGTCAAGTCTCTGAAACACGTCAAGTCTATGAAACACGCATGTCAAGTCTGTGAGACACACGTCAAGTATGCGAAACACACACATCAAGTCTGTGAAACACACCAAGTCTATGAAACACACAGGTCAAGTCTGTGAGACACAGGTCAAGTCTGTGAGACACACTCCAAGTCTATGAAACACACAGGTCAAGTCTGTGAGACACACGTCAAGTCTGTGAAACACACAGGTCAAGTCTGTGAAACACACAGGTCAAGTCTGTGAGACACACATCAAGTCTGTGAAACACACGGGTCAAGTCTGTGAGACACACGTCAAGTCTGTGAAACACACGGGTCAAGTCTGTGAGACACACTCCAAGTCTATGAAACACACAGGTCAAGTCTGTGAAACACACGGGTCAAGTCTATGAAACACACAGGTCAAGTCTGTGAGACACACTCCAAGTCTATGAAACACACAGGTCAAGTCTGTGAGACACACGTCAAGTCTGTGAAACACGCCAAGTCTATGAAACACACAGGTCAAGTCTGTGAGACACATAGGTCAAGTCCGAGAAATGCACGGGTCAAGCACACACGTCAAACCTGTGAAACGCACATATCAAATCTGTGAAACACATCAAGTCTGTGAAACACGTCAAGTCTGTGAAACACAGGTCAAGTCTGTGAAACACACATCAAGTCTATGAAACACACGTCAAGTCTCTGAGACACGTCAAGTCTATGAAACACACGTCAAGTCTGTGAAACACAGGTCAAGTATGCGAAACACACACATCAAGTTCGAACCACAGGTCAAGTCTGTGAAACACACACAAAGTCTGTGAAACACAGGTCAAGTCTGTGAAACACACAAGTCAAGCCTATGAAACACACAAATCAAATCTGTGAAACACACGTCAAGTCTGTGAAACACACAGGTCAAGTCTATGAAACACACGTCAAGCCTGCGAAACACACACATCAAGTCTGTGAAACACACACATCAAGTCTGTGAAACACAGGTCAAGTCTGTGAAACACACAGGTCAAGTCTGTGAGACACACGTCAAGTCTGTGAAACACGCCAAGTCTATGAAACACACAGGTCAAGTCTGTGAGACACATAGGTCAAGTCCGAGAAATGCACGGGTCAAGCACACAAGTCAAATCTATGAAACACACAGGTCAAGTCTGTGAGACACACGTCAAGTCTGTGAAACACACAGGTCAAGTCTGAAACACAGATCAAGTCTGTGAAACACAGATCAAGTCTGTTTAACACGTCAAGTCTGTGAAACACACATCAAGTCTGTGAAACACAGGTCAAGTCTGTGAAACACAGGTCAAGTATGTGAAACACACATCAAGTCTGTGAAACACACAGGTCAAGTCTGAAACACAGGTCAAGTCTGTGAAACACACACGTCAAGTCTGTGAGACACACGTCAAGTCTGTGAGACACACATCAAGTCTATGAAACACACATCAAGTCTCTGAGACACGTCAAGTCTATGAAACACACATGTCAAGTCTGTGAAACACAGGTCAAGTATGCGAAACACACATCAAGTGTGACACACAGGTCAAGTCTGTGAAACACACAGGTCAAGTCTGTGAAACACACACATAAAGTCTGTGAAACAGGGGTCAAGTCTGTGAAACATACATAAAGTCTGTGAAACACACAAAGTCTGTCAAACACAGGTCAAGTCTGTGAAACACACATAAAGTCTGTGAAACACACATAAAGTCTGTGAAACACAGGTCAAGTCTGTGAAACACACAAAGTCTGTGCAACACACAGGTCAAGTCTATGAAACACACACATAAAGTCTGTGAAACACACACAAAGTCTGTGAAACACAGGTCAAGTCTGTGAAACACACACAAAGTCTGTTAAACACAGGTCAAGTCTATGAAACCCACACATAAAGTCTGTGAAACACACAGGTCAAATCTGTGAAACACATACGTCAAATCTGTGAAACACACAGGTCAAATCTGTGAAACACACACATCAAATCTGTGAAACACACACATCAAATCTGTGAAACACACGTCAAATCTGTGAAACACACGTCAAATCTGTGAAACACACAGGTCAAGTCTGTGAAACACAGGTCAAGTCTGTGAAACACACATCAAGTCTGTGAAACACACACAAAGTCTGTGAAACACACACAAAGTCTGTGAAACACACATAAAGTCTGTGAAACACACACAAAGTCTGTGAAACACACATAAAGTCTATGAAACACACGTCAAGCCTGCGAAACACACACATCAAGTCTGTGAAACACACACATCAAATCTGTGAAACACACATGTCAAGTCTGTGAGACACACATCAAGTCTGTGAAACACGCCGAGTCTGTGAAACACACAGGTCAAGTCTGTGAGACACATAGGTCAAGTCAGAGAAATGCACGGGTCAAGCACACACGTCAAATCTGTGAAACACACATATCAAATCTGTGAAACATATCAAATCTGTGAAACACGTCAAGTCTGTTAAACACACAGATCAAGTCTGTGAAACACATATCAAGTCTGTGAAACACAGGTCAAGTCTGTGAAACACACAGGTCAAGTCTGTGAAACACACAGGTCAAGTCTGTGAAACACAGGTCAAGTCTGTGAAACACACAGGTCAAGTCTGTGAAACACACAGGTCAAGTCTGAAACACAGATCAAGTCTGTGAAACACACGTCAAGTCTGTTAAACACGTCAAGTCTGTGAGACACACACATCAAGTCTGTGAAACACACCGTCAAGTCTGTGAGAAACACATCAAGTCCTTGAAACACACGTCAAGTCTCTGAAACACGTCAAGTCTATGAAACACACATGTCAAGTCTGTGAGACACACGTCAAGTATGCGAAACACACACATCAAGTCTGTGAAACATGCCAAGTCTATGAAACACACAGGTCAAGTCTGGGAGACACATAGGTCAAGTCAGAGAAATGCATGGGTCAAGCACACACGTCAAATCTGTGAAACACACATCAAGTCTGTTAAACACGTCAAGCCTGTTTAACACATCAAGTCTGTGAAACACATCAAGTCTGTGAAACAAAGGTCAAGTCTGTGAAACACACAGGTCAAGTCTGTGAAACACACATCAAACTGTGAAACACAGGTCAAGTCTGTGAAACACACAGGTCAAGTCTATTAAACACATCAAGTCTGTGAAACACGTCAAGTCTGTGAAACACACAGGTCAAGTCTGTGAAACACACATCAAGTCTGTGAAACACGTCAAGCCTGTTTAACACGTCAAGTCTGTGAAACACATCAAGTCTGTGAAACACAGGTCAAGTCTGTGAAACACACAGGTCAAGTCTGTTAAACACATCAAGTCTGTGAAACACGTCAAGTCTGTGAAACACACAGGTCAAGTCTGTGAAACACACAGGTCAAGTCTGTGAAACACACATCAAGTCTGTGAAACACAGGTCAAGTCTGTGAAACACACAGGTCAAGTCTGTTAAACATATCAAGTCTGTGAAACACGTCAAGTCTGTGAAACACACAGGTCAAGTCTGTGAAACACACATCAAGTCTGTTAAACACACACATCAAGACTGTGAAACACACAGGTCTTATCCAGTCAACATTACTGTTCAGACGCACAAATTTTTAAAAATAATCACACAAACTTCACATCATTAAAATGGCTACCTACCGATACTCTATGGCTGAGTCTCTCGGCAGTTCGGTTCAGGTCCATGTTGTCAGCTCGAAGTCGACGGCATCGCTCGGTCAGTATATGGCGCTCCAAGCGCTGCTCTGTAAAAGTACCATCAATGGTCAAAACTAAATAAATCATAGAACACTGAATCTAACCTATTTCATAAATAATGCCCATGCCTACATTCCTCACATCTTACAACCAACATGTAATTCATCATGGAACAAGGAACAAGTAACAAGCTGGACCCACACCACACCCCTTCCTACATATGGAACATGTAACTAGCTGGACCCACACCACACCCCTTCCTTCATATGGAACAAGTAACTAGCTGGACCCACACCACACCCCTTCCTTCATATGGAACAAGTAACTAGCTGGACCCACACCACACCCCTTCCTACATATGGAACATGTAACTAGCTGGACCCACACCACACCCCTTCCTTCATATGGAACAAGTAACTAGCTGGACCCACACCACACCCCTTCCTACATATGGAACATGTAACTAGCTGGACCCACACCACACCCCTTCCTTCATATGGAACAAGTAACTAGCTGGACCCACACCACACCACCTCCTTCATATGGAACAAGTAACTAGCTGGACCCACACCACACCACCTCCTTCATACGGAACAAGTGACCAGCTGGCCCCACACCACCTCCTTTATATGGAACAAGTAACTAGCTGGCCATACAACTTTATGTTTGTCAGAAGTAACTAGCTGGCCCCACACCCACCTTCTACATATCTTTGATAGGAGTCTATTATGGCTTCAATACCCGGCCAGCGGAACCCTGGATTGGCTCCGTAGTCCGAGATGTCTGTTTCACGTGTAGAACCACTAGATTCACCTGATGCATTGAAGCGTAGTTGTGTTGGACCTTGTGATTGGTCTGTAGGTCTCGAGCTGAAGGACTCCTCCTGCCCTCTGCCCCCTGAAGGAACAACAAGGATATATTACTACAGAGTCTGGAACTCTCCATCCCAGGGATGTGTCAGCAAATCCTGCTGCATAGAACTGGCAATGTGTGTGGTCTATCAATAAGACCTGCCCTATAGAAGTGATAATGCATCAAAAAGACTTGCCCCATAGAAGTGATGATGTATCAGCAAGACCTGCCCTATAGAAGTGATGATGCATCAGTAAGACTAACCCTACAGAAGGGATGATCTATCAGCAAGACCTGCTCTATAGAAGCGATGATGTATTAGTAGGACTTGCCCTATAGAAGTGGTGATGTATCAGCAAGACCTGTCCTATAGAAGTGATAATGCATCAGTAAGACTTGCCCTATAGAAGTGATGATCTAGAAGACTTGCCCTATAGAAGTGATGATCTATCAGTAAGACCTGCCCTATAGAAGTGATGATCTATCAGTAAGACCTGTCCTATAGAAGTGATAATGCATCAGTAAGACCTGCCCTATAGAAGTGATGATGTATCAGCAAGACCTGCCCTATAGAAGTGATGATGTATCAGTAGGACTTGCCCTATAGAAGTGATGATGTATGAGTAAGAATGAGTGAGTGAGTGAGTGTGATTTTATGCCTCTTTTAGCAATATTCCAGCAATATCATGACGGGAGACACCACAAATGCGCTTCACACATTGTACCCATGTCGGGAATCAAACCAGGGTCTTCGGCGTAATGAACAAACGCTTTAACCTCTAGGCTACCCGACCGCCCCGTATCAGCAAGACCTGACCTATAGAAGTAATGATGTATCAGTGCAATCTGCTATTACCTAAACGACTTGCTATTTCTTTTTGTCTTGTTGTTTGGAGAACAGATTCATGAAACTGTTCCGCAAACTCCCTACTGAGCTGGCGATCGCGTGACTCTGGAAACACTACCGCACTCGACTTGACATGGTTGGCTGGTTTTCCGTGTTTCTGGTGACGAGCTTGCAACTGACTTAGAGAAATTTTCATGGGTTCTGATTGGGAGGACATATTTTCCATTTCATCAAATTTCCGTTTCACGCCACAACCTGAAGTTTCTGAAACTGCAGAGAAAAAAAAAGGGATTAGGACAACAAAGGTCATTATAAAACATGGACCAAAGCAAAAACTTTAGAATTGAGTGGGGTTTGGCGTTTGGGGTTTGGGGTTTTTGGATCGGGGTTCGGGGTGATGTAACCAGGAGAAAATCTTCATCAGGCTATGATGCCTTGTAAAGTTGGTGAAAGAGTAAATGTTGGGTTATGACTCATTCAGCTGTATTCCAGTTACAACCTGCTAACATCCTGGCCCAGGCACCCCAGTGGCTGATGGCAGCGGCAACAAGCCAAGCCACCAGAGTGGGACAGCAGGATCAGCCCACATGTCTTAACACAACTTGCCCATCTGAACAAGCCATTAACAAGCCATTGCTTGGGGCACACTGTCTTCACATCACCTGCCTCAGCCATAAACCAGAAATCAAAGGACAGAAAACTATGTGAAATCTGACAGAAACACGAGTTCACCTGGTAAAATGTCGCCATTCATCAGAACACGGTTGTTTTCCTCCAGGACTCCGAGCCTCCTCTGTTTCTCCTGCTCACAAAACGTTCTGATCTGGTCCAACTCTGAAACACAGATAGCCTTGACTACAAACATTCTGATCTGGTCCAACTCTGAAACACAGATAGCCTTGACTACAAAACATTCTGATCTGGTCCAACTCTGAAACACAGATAGCCTTGACTACAAAACATTCTGATCTGGTCCAACTCTGAAACACAGATAGCCTTGACTACAAAATCCAACCTGGTCCAACACTCGAGGTACCAGATACCCGGTACTTTGCATGAGAATCTCCATGCTGTTGTGTGGACAGGGGATCATAGGCTACATTCTAAGGTATCAGGGTATGTTCTAAGTTATCAGGCTAACGTCAAGGTTTCCATATGATCTTCATATATATTTGTAAATATTTTGCACCTTTCTTTCTGTCTCGACCGAGGGGGCCGAGATCCATGTTGTGCAGGAACTGGCACTTGTCTGGGTAGTCGTTGTCATGACACAAGGCGTCGGACTCGGCCAGACTCGGGAGTGGCAAGGGAGAGCAGTTCTCCTCCTCAACCTCCACGGGGCTGATACTGCGCTCGCGGTGCAGTTTCCGACGTTTTCGAAGACGTTCATACTGAATGTCTGAAACACAGACATCATCACAAGGTTACTTAGCAACAAAGTGAATGGAAATAGAGATTAAAACTGGCAAGCCTTGGCAAGGATATTTACTTCTTTATATCCTTACATTTGATATTGACAATATGAAAACACACTACCTCTCTCTTCACTACCTAATGTCATGCTTAAAGTAGCTCAAGAAATTGTATATTGCTACAGTCCCAATGATTTGCAGTCATGTTTGTCTACTTCATCACCCACACCTTAGTACACCCCTATCTATTCATCTTGGGAATGGTTGTCATTAGTTTGTTGAGCAAGCAGACCTCGACTCGATGCAAGGAGATCCAAAGTAGTTTCTGCTCAGTGACCTCGTTGCATATTTATCGGATATGGTACCAAGTTGATCTGATTGGTTTATCACATAACATTGCTGATTATCTGAAAAAACTAAGAATGTTTGCTGCAACATCCTCAAGGTCCCCCTTCCTATTCCCACACCTGTCCACTGACAGTCTGCTTCAAGCCACCATCTGGCTATGTTATATTAGAGAGATTACTGCCCTACATGTACACCCCCTTCCTATTCCCACACCTGTCCACTGACAGTCTGCTTCAAGCCACCAACTGGCTATGTTATGTCAGAGAGATTACTGCCCTACATGTACACCAGCAGAACACTAGTACCATGAGAACACCCCCACCAAGATCACAGTTTGAGACGGAGTCCCTGCTGCTAAAAGTCTTAACTTCCAACCCACCTTTCTTTTTCCTAAGTGTAACAAGTCCAAGTTCTCCCAGCAGTTTCATTTTAGGTGGCGATGCTTCAAACTTGAGCGGCGGGACTTTGGTGATGAACATGAGCTGCTGTAGTCGACGCTCGTCGTCGTCGGACAAACCATCGTCCTCACTGTCGCTGCAGTAGGTGCCATTGAGGCGCGAGTCCCGCAGTTTCTGCTCTTCTATATCCAGCTTACTCCGCACGTGGTTCTCAACACACTGTTTCTGCACATAGGTTGCGTCTGAGAACGGTATCAGCACCCGACTGTCCACACTTTGCGACTCTGGTTTTGGAAGGTGTCCAAACTCTGTCGCCAAACTCTTGAAGTCAAACCGTTCAATATTATGATTACTGTGAGTCCTACTGATTGGCTTCTTGAGCTGGTGATGATCGTAACCATCAGCCACTGAATTGTCTCTACGTTCCACTGACTCAGGAAACCTCTCTCTCACGTCCCCATTCGCCTCCCGATCGTGAGATCGTCTATAGGATGGCACTGACAAGTCGGCTGATTTTGAGCTTTGAAGGGGTTGTGAATATTGGGAATACTGGGAATCAGGAGCAGGTTTCTCAAATGGTCGGAAGATGGCACCGTCAGTTGGTTTTTCCCCTCGACTTGCATCACCTTGACCCCGTGGTGACACAAGTGGTGGAGGCTGACCTCGATCCATCCCCACGGGACCACGCCCATGGTCCGACTCTGAGTGGTCCACCATATACCTCCGCCCAGCGTCACCCATGCTTGCGTTGTAGTGGCGTGCGGAGGGGGGATCGGGGGGCTGCAGGCAGGCAACACATCACATGTAATACACCATCTACATTGTCAATGTATCTTCAACACACTTTGCACCACACATAGCTTACATATTTGTCTTAACTGCACAGTTCAGATCATTAGGCTTCAATTTGTTCGTTTGTTCTTTAATGATGCACCTAGCAATATTCCAGCTATATGGCGACAGTCTGTAAATAATCAAGTCTGGACCAGACAATCCAGTGATTGACATCACGAGCTTGGGAACACGATGACATGCATCAACAAAGTCAGCGAGCATGACCATCTTTTGTCGCCTTTTACGGCAAGCATGGGTTGCTGAAGACCTAATCTGACCCAGATCCTCACTGGTCTTACTGCTGTGACTGCTACTTTCAATGTGACTGCATATCAGATAAACAGGCTGAAGCACCTACTTTATTGGAAAACTAAAACAGATCATAGAGAATGTCAGTGTACTCATCACACAACTTATTTTTGAATATTACACTAAGCAGTGACAGTATCCTGGGACATTCACACACTTCCAACATTACTGTAGCACATGGCCATGATCACCACATAGGGATTACCATGTCACAATTAAACATTATTCTTTTTGGGCATAACGTACAATGCATCAACACACTTTCCTTGTGATAAGTCAGCCAATCTTACCCCAGAATCCATGCAGATAGACCATTATATGTTTTAAGTTTTTCTTTGTAATCTTATAATCCCAAAATATCTGTGGCAGTGTCCCAGTACATGCCAAATTTTATGTTTTTTCTACATTGTCTGTTTGCATATCAGTATCAGTATGATCAGGCACAAGTATGATTTTGGTGGTGATGCAATACCTTATGATGGTGGTAGTGATTGCGGTCGTGCTCCCTGCGTGCTCCTGCCGCGTCCTGCCATCGAGCATCCTTGCTGTAGCCGGACTCGGAGGAAGCCCTGCAGCCTGGATCGCGCGGAGTGCCTTGTGTGATGGAGCCAAACTTGGAAGCTGGAAGTGAAAAAAGTATGTCCATCAATCCAAATACAATATAGGGCATTATCATCCGATTTCAGTGTTAATTAGCATACCACTGAATACATTTAAATCGAAGTCCTGAATTCTGTTTATTGCCATCAATAACGTACCTTCTTCTTGCCTTGAGTCCCTGGCTCGCATGTCGTCATGATGCCGACCTCGCACATCGTCATGGTGCCGACCTCGCACGTCGTCATGGTGCCGACCTCGCATGTCGTCATGATGTCGACCTCGCATGGGCACTGTCAGTACACTGTTGTTGGTTAGGTCGTTGTGTCGCTCTAATATCTTCTGACGCTCTCGCTCAATCTCTCTTTGTTGTTCTCTTAAACGTTGAATCTCAGCCTCTCTGTCTCTCTCTTTCTCTCGTTCTTTCTCCCTTTCTCGCTCTCTTTCTTTCTCTCTTTCTCTCTCACGTTCTCGCTCTCTTTCCCGATCAAGTTCTCGTTGTCGGTCTTCCTCAGCTCTTGATCTGAAGGAAAAAATATCAAAATAACTGCTGTCATTTAGCAACATTTGGAGACAAGAGTACATAAAAAAATAGTATGTCTTAATAGAATCATGATGTCCAGACCAAAACAAGCATTAAATACTCATATCCCCCATCAATATGATATGTCCGGTTGTGTGCAAGGCAATGAATATTGTACGTTTTTTTAGATCTGCTCCTACAAGGACCACTACCACCATTTTCAGCCTAAGTCAAAGTCGTTGCTCAGGAAACTAAAAAAAACAAATTTTTCAAAAATCCCAAACTGTCAAAAGTACCAGTTTACCACTAGACCTATCTGTGTGCCATGTTTGGTTAAGATATGTCTCCCTTTTTTTAGTTCTGCTACAGAAACAAAACTTGACCAACAGGCGGACAGCACTCATTCCTATATCCCCCTTCTACTTCATGGCGGGGGATAATAACGACTGATATAATACCCACCTCTCTGCTGACATGGCTGGGGATCGGGGGTCCACCCCGGGTGCACTTGGGGAGAGAAAGGGATATTGATGCAGCAACTCTGGGGGGTAGCGCCCGCCAGCGAGGAGAGGGTGCATCCCTGGGTGGGGCATCATGGCCCCGGGGGCAGAGCCTGTGGAGGGGAAGGGTAAATAGGGAGGCTGCATCATGCGGTACCGCTCCAGCATCAGGGGATCCTCAAGCCTGCAACACATTTATACATGGCTGACACACTTACAAAACATTTATACATGGTTGGGAGTAATGTAAGGGAGGCAACTCCTAACTGTATGCCGGATGAGAGTATGGATGTGGCTGCATGAAGGCCAAGCACCCCTGTAGGATGTGTAATGTAAGGGAGGCAACTCCTAACTGTATGCCGGATGAGCGTATGGATGTGGCTGCATGAAGGCCAAGCACCCCTGTAGGATGTGTAATGTAAGGGAGGCAACTCCTAATTGTATGCCAGATGAAAGTATGGTTGTAAATGTAAGGGAGGCAACTCCTACCTGTATGCTGGATGAGAGTATGGATGTGGCTGCATGAAGGCCTGGTGATATGCTGCCTGGTATGTGGCTGGGTCCATTCCATATGGAAGGGGGACAGGAGGTCGGATATCATCTCCATGGCGATAAGGCTGGAACCCACGGACCAAGCCATCTTCTCTTGACCCGGGGGTGGAATGGGGAGTCAGTCTGGAACAAGACAGGCAGTCTTCGTTTCACCAAATCAACATGTTGCTCTGTTCTAAAAGGTGTACATATATCTAGGCCAGACTGTCTATGAAATCTATATCTATATAGATTTCAGGTTTCAGAATATAGAATGCTTGTCATTGACATGGCTTAATGCCAAATACTCCCTGTTACATCTGACAAGCCTGTTACATCTGACAAGCCCCGTTACATCTGACAAGCCCCCATTTCATCTGACAAGCCCTGTCACATCTGACAAGCCCCGTTACATCTGACAAGCCTGTTACATCTGACAAGCCTGTTACATCTGACAAGCCCCGTTACATCTGACAAGCCCCCATTTCATCTGACAAGCCCTGTTACATCTGACAAGCCCCGTTACATCTGACAAGCCTGTTACATCTGACAAGCCTGTTACATCTGACAAGCCCTGTCACATCTGACAAGCCCCCATTTCATCTGACAAGCCCTGTTACATCTGACAAGCCCCGTTACATCTGACAAGCCCCGTTACATCTGACAAGCCCGTTACATCTGACAAGCCCCGTTACATCTGACAAGCCCCCGTTACATCTGACAAGCCCCGTTACATCTGACAAGCCCCCGTTACATCTGACAAGCCCCCGTTACATCTGGCAAGCCCCGTTACATCTGACAAGCCCCGTTACATCTGACAAGCCCCGTTACATCTGACAAGCCCCCGTTACATCTGACAAGCCCCGTTACATCTGACAAGCCCCCGTTACATCTGACAAGCCCCCATTACATCTGACAAGCCCCGTACATCTGACAAGCCCCGTTACATCTGACAAGCCCTGTTACATCTGACAAGCCCCATTACATCTGACAAGCCCTTTTACATCTGACAAGCCGTTACAAAAGACAAGCCCTGTACACAGGTTGTTAATGCAGGATTATTTGTTGTTTTATGCCGCACTCAGCAATATTCCAGCAATGACGGTTGCCTGTAAATAACTGAGTCCGGACCACATATGACACACAATCAACAAAGTCCTCAAGGCCGACCACCAAGCCACTTGGTCGCCTCTTACCACCAGCAGAGGTTAGTGAGGACTGAAACCTGGAATCTCACAGAGGAGCTGGTCAGTCAGGAGATAGACAGTGGAGCTGGTCAGTCAGAGGATAGACAGTGAACTGTTCAGTCAGAAGATAGACAGCGGAACTGGTCAGTCAGAGGATAGACAGCGGAGCTGGTCAGTCAGAGGATAGACAACAGAGCTGGTCAGTCAGAGGATAGACAGCGGAGCTGGTCAGTCAGAAGGTAGACAGCAGAGGTGGTCAGTCAGAGGATAGACAGCGGAGCGGGTCAGTCAGAGGATAGACAGCGGAGCTGGTCAGTCAGAGGATAGACAGCGGAGCGGGTCAGTCAGAGGATAGACAGCGGAGCTGGTCAGTCAGAGGATAGACAACAGAGCTGGTCAGTCAGAGGATAGACAGCGGAGCTGGTCAGTCAGAAGGTAGACAGCAGAGGTGGTCAGTCAGAGGATAGACAGCGGAGCGGGTCAGTCAGAGGATAGACAGCGGAGCTGGTCAGTCAGAAGGTAGACAGCAGAGGTGGTCAGTCAGAGGATAGACAGCGGAGCTGGTCAGTCAGAAGGTAGACAGCAGAGGTGGTCAGTCAGAGGATAGACAGCGGAGCTGGTCAGTCAGAGGATAGACAACGAAGCTGGTCAGTCAGAGGATAGACAGCGGAGGTGGTCAGTCAGAAGGTAGACAGCGGAGCTGGTCAGCCAGAGGATAGACAGCTGAGCTGGTCAGTCAGAAGGTAGACAGCGGAGCTTGTCAGTCAGAGGATAGACAGCGGAGCTGGTCAGTCAGAAGATAGACAACGGAGCTTGTCAGCCAGAGGATAGACAGCGGAGCTGGTCAGTCAGAAGATAGACAACGGAGCTTGTCAGCCAGAGGATAGACAGCAGAGCTGAGCAGTCAGAAGGTAGACAGCGGAGCTGGTCAGTCAGAGGATAGACAGCGGAGCTGGTCAGTCAGAGGATAGACAGCGGAGCGGGTCAGTCAGAGGATAGACAGTGGAGGTGGTCAGTCAGAAGATAGACAAGATAATCTGGTGTAAATACATTCATCAGTGTGTGTAGCGGACATACATTCTCGACGGTGTCTGTCCGTGAGGGCCATCCTTCATTGACGAGCGGTCATCGTCACGAGAGTGTGAAGACAGAGGGCGCTGGTCTCGTTCCTGTTTCAATGAGAGCGGCTCATAGAGTGATGAGGATGTACTGTGGGCAGATGACACTCGCTCCAGGCCCTGAAACATGCACAGTGTAACCATGGTAACTAAACTCATCCTCATGTCATTCAAAAACAAATCTATGAGTGTCAATATCCTTTCTAGGATTCCATGTATATTCTCAAGGCTTAAAAAATAAAAGAATTGGTTTTCAGGGAATGGCTTTTGAAAATATAGTGCAGGCGGGCAGTGTTTTTTGTTGTTTTTGTTGTTGTTGTTGTTCAAACTAGTATGTAACCAAATAAACAGTTGTGGACAATCAGCCTGGGAAAGAGCCTTGCTACATTTATGTACTCCTTGATGAGTAAAATACTGAAACAGTAATTGACTAATGCAAAACACCTGCATACAATGAGCTTTGATTTTATTTCACAATGCGATGACGTTATTGTGAGCCCATAACACCAGAAGAAGCATGTCAACACATCGGTACTGAAGTATGCAAGCTAGTACTATCATTACAGTGTCTGGCAGTAGTATCCATTATATCACTTTTATCAATTTCAATTTCGTTTACATTAATTTTGGCAAAATCAAGTATGAACTGATTGGCAAATCACATCGATTCACTATGAACTCGCCTTGAAATGAACATCAATCGTTTGAGACACAAAGTCTGTGGTCTTCCTAACAATACATAGAAATTTCTTTTCAGTTATGATAATGGCCATGACATAAGTATAATTTAAACTAAATTGCCCATGGACAGGGGAGAAAATGTGTGAACAGCTGATTGCTATTTCCGGCATATTTTATGAGACAAATACACAAGTAATCTTAATCTCTACGTATGAAACATTGTCTGGCATACAGTACACAAATACCACTGAATTTATAAATCATTACATTTAGTGATGTTTAACCATACATATCCTGTTTTCATTTACCAAATTTGAAAACGGCAAAACAAGCACACAAACTCCTACTGCTGCCATGACCATAACACGAGATGCGCAGTAAAGCAGTGCACAGGTAAAGGGAAGTATCCTCAGGCTATATTGGATCACGTTGTTTTTAAGTATTGTAGCATTTTACAGCCGCGTTGGGAATAATTAGGATTTAAAGGACTTTATGATGATGCGGCAGTGCCTGAGAACCAAGACTATTTTTTTTAGCCTAAAACAAAAAGTAATCAAATACACACTGAGTGACTGTATCTAGGCAGATCGTACACAATCAATTACAGTGAACATGACTGACCTCCCTTTGAGCTTCATGCATGCCACAACAAAACAATAGAGTTACCTCCCTTTGATGCTATTTCTAAGACTTACCTGTCGACTATCATTGAGCACTGATGGGTGTGCTTGTGTAGGGGCGATTGTCACCACCGGGGGAGAGGTGAGGGATTGAGCCTGTGAGGCGTATACAAGGGGTGGCGGCGCACGTTTGGGGGTGGATGATCGGGGACTGACGTTGGAACTGGGAGGACTGGTGTGCTTGACGCTGGCAGGGTCTTCTGAAATCAACAGGTGCAGAAACAGGTTTGATTCCCGAAAACAACATCACACACCCACTGTTGACATGGAACATCATTGAATCTCAATATGCATGTTGTCATTATATTAATAATAGTTTAGGTGCAATATTAGTTACTTATTTGCTTAAAGAGATGACATGTTATTACAGAGCTGCCTGTACCTCCTGCATTTCTTTACTGGGTGGAACATACATAAAATAGTCACTCACGTACACGGAAAATAGCATTGTTTTACAAAGATGGTGGTTATGATAATATATGAATGCACACTAAAAACATATATATAATGCATGTATGTTACTGTGTTCTCAGTGAATCAGCTGATAGAAATGTCTTCAGTCTAGAGTCTCACATCACTATTAACCAGAGATGGAAAATCAGAAAACTCTTCATTTTACAAGATCAAACACAACCATTAGAAAGTGAAGATTTCCTGCCCTAGCTGTGTGCTAGCCACTTGTACATCTCCATCATCTAATGCCCTGAGAACACAGCAGGTGATTCTGAAAAAGCATCATTGTATATAATAAAGAGTTAGATCTGATCCCTAAAATACCAAATGCTGTTGCCGATGTTGTTGGTGGCGACGTTGAAGCCATGCCCTAGCGGCCGTGCCAGAGGGGTTGGGGAAATCTGTGAGACAACAATTGCTGGCTGATACATCATGCTAATCAAACAATGCAGTCATGGTTACACTTTCAGCCACAAATACTTAGTACAGAGAAAATCTTTCACCATCGTTATGCATGCAATTCAAAAGCTGTGCTTCTCAAGCAATTTGACAAAGAAAGAAAATACACTAAAATAAGAGTCTATCAAGCTAGAGATCTGTACAGGGGTGGAGGTCACAGATTCCTGATTAAAGCCATAGTTTGGCATTATCAAATCAGAACATAACACACCATCAAGGGGACTTGATGCCTGAATAAGCTACACAACTGATGCCAGCAAGCACCAAATTGATCAACTGATGCCAGCGTGCACAACATTGATCAACTGATGCCAGTATGCACCAAATTGATCAACTGATGCCAGCATGCACCACATTGATCAACTGATGCCGGCAAGCACCACATTGATCAACTGATGCCAGTATGCACCACATTGATCAACCGATGCCAGCATGCACCACATTGATCAACTGATGCCAGCATGCACCACATTGATCAACTGATGCCAGTGTGCACCACGTTGATCAACCGATGCCAGCATGCACCACGCTGATCAACTGATGCCAGCATGCAACACATTGATCAACCGATGCCAGCATGCACCACGTTGATCAACTGATGCCAGCAAGCACCACATTGATCAACCGATGCCAGCATGCACCACATTGATAAACCGATGCCAGTATGCACAACATTGATCAACTGATGCCAGCATGCACCACATTGATCAACTGATGCCATCGTGCACCACATTGATCAACTGATGCCAGCATGCACCACATTGATCAACTGATGCCAGCATGCACCACATTGATCAACAGATGCCAGCGTGCACCACGTTGATCAACTGATGCCAGCATGCACCACATTGATCAACTGATGCTAACAAGCACCACATTGATCAACTGATGCCAGCATGCACCAAATAGATCAACAGATGCCAGTGTGCACCACATTGATCAACTGATGCCAGCAAGCACCACATTGATCAAATGATGCCAGCAAGCACCACATTGATCAACTGATGCCAGCATGGACAACATTGATCAACTGATGCCAGCATGCACAACATTGATCAACTGATGCCAGCATGCACCACATTGATCAACCGATGCCAGCATGCACCACACTGATCAACCAATGCCATCGTGCACCACATTGATCAACCGATGCCATCGTGCACGACATTGATCAACTGATGCCAGTGTGCACCACATTGATCAACCGATGCCAGTGTGCACCACATTGATCAACCGATGCCAGCATGCACCACATTGATCAACAGATGCCAGTGTGCACCACATTGATCAACTGATGCCAGCATGCACAACATTGATCAACTGATGCCAGCATGCACCACATTGATCAACCGATGCCAGCGTGCACCACATTGATCAACTGATGCCAGCTTGCACCACACTGATCAACTGATACCAGCATGCACCACATTGATCAACCGATGCCAGCAAGATCCACATTGACCAACCGATGCCAGCATGCACCACACTGATCAAACGATGCCAGCATGCACCACATTGATCAACCGATGCCAGCATGCACCACATTGATCAACCGATGCCATCGTGCACCACATTGATCAACTGATGCCAGCATGCACCACATTGATCAACTGATGCAAGTATGCACCACGTTGATCAACCGATGCCAGCATGCACCACACTGATCAACCAATGCCATCGTGCACCACATTGATCAACCGATGCCATCGTGCACGACATTGATCAACTGATGCCAGCATGCACCACATTGATCAACCGATGCCAGTGTGCACAACATTGATCAACTGATGCCAGCATGCACCACATTGATCAACTGATGCCAGCATGCACCACATTGATCAACCGATGCCAGCATGCACCACATTGATCAACTGATGCCAGCGTGCACCACACTGATCAACTGATACCAGCATGCACCTCATTGATCAACCGATGCCAGCATGCACCACATTGATCAACCGATGCCAGCAAGCACCACATTGATCAACTGATGCCAGCATGCACCACATTGATCAACCGATGCCAGCATGCACCACATTGATCAACCGTTGCCAGCAAGCACCACAATGATCAACTGATGCCAGCATGCACCACATTGATCAACCGATGCCAGCGTGCACCACATTGATCAACTGATGCCAGCGTGCACCACACTGATCAACTGATACCAGCATGCACCACATTGATCAACCGATGCCAGCATGCACCACATTGATCAACCGATGCCAGCAAGCACCACATTGATCAACTGATGCCAGCAAGCACCACATTGATCAACTGATGCCAGCATGCACCACATTGATCAACTGATGCCAGCAAGCACCACACTGATCAACCGATGCCAGCATGCACCACATTGATCAACCGATGCCAGCATGCACCACATGGTGAAGCTACTCATTAAACTACACAGAAGCTTGACAGTTGCAAAAGGTTAAGCAGGCGAGATTAGGACAGTTTCAAGACTTTCCCAAAGGTGGTGTGTGATTTCAAATACATAACAACGTGTCGAGAATTGCATGCACAAGATGCAAGAAGTTAAGACTACAGCACTACAGCAGAATACACTAGGACAGTGAAAAGGCTCAGCCATCCGCCTGAAGGAACAAATACCACTCCACACATCTCCTGCAGCAGTTGCTTCAGGAACTCAATTCTCTTGTTTTAAACAGTAAACCAAAGAAAATTTGAAACATTTCAAATTCATTTTAGGCCAGCTGAAGTTGAACATTCCAAACAAATTAATCACAGAATTGAATCCCACATCAGGAGAAAATAAAGTTAAATATGTTTTGAATGTTTCAACCTTGGAACAATAAGGACATATATCCTTAGTCCAGCAAGAAAACAAAGAAAGCATCTTCATTTCAGGGTCTGCCAAGGGCATGTCTGGGAAGGCGCACTCAACGGAAACCACCATACCAGGGAGACATGTTCTGGGTTAGGAGACCTCTTCATATAAGAGAGACACTTTCCCTTGGTGAATATGTTTGTCAACAGCTGGCCTAACCCCATGTGTATTTGTTCCTTCAATTGGCTGCAGCCCTTGCCAAGGCACCAGGAAGAAGAGATACGTTGCATTACCTGGGTCTTTAGCTTGGTGAGCAAGTTTCCGGAGAGCTGCAGCAAAACTGGATGTTCTAGTGGCACTGAGAGCAGCATCGCCACTGACAGAGTTAAGTCCATTGCTGGGGGACACCTGGTTGAGAGGGGGGACCGTGGCAGTGTTGCGTGCTACCTTGCTCCCCGACGGACTCAGCATGTTCAGGGGAGGGGGCTTGGAGCCCTGGGGGAGGCCTGAAATGTACAACATTCAAAATGACAAATCTGAAGTAATTCCAAAATGATATTGCCATCAGAGTGATCCGCTGAAAATGAAGGTGTTTGAACTGGCCATGAAACAAAGGAACACTCTGATGTATCAACATGCGAGTGATGTCTCTATATAGCCTAGGATGTAATGGAGTGTGATTGGAAGAACAGGATCTGTGTAAAGACAAAAGACTACCTTTGTTATTGACCCAGCATGGAAGGATTGATTTTGCAAAACAAATACGGCATTGATTTAAAAACAAACCATCTGTTGAACTAACTTGAACTCAGATCTAATGAGACGTAACGAAGACTTCATAGGCAACATCCTCTTTCATAAAACAATCATGAATATATACATCACAGAGCCACATGTACAAACCCCCCCCCCCCCTCCCGGTGGAGCGTGTGGCATGATGGACCATAGGACAACTACACACCACATGATCAGTGTCAATCACCCCCTTTCAGCTTCATCCGAGCAGCGAGATGAATGACATTTCACATTGACCATGTTGACAGGAGATTGTGTACACTTCACTACTGGTGTTCTACCCGATAGGCACATGAAATATGTATGTAGTAGAGCAGATCTTAGTGGAAAATCAATAGCCAGATAACAAGGAAGTGATGACGACTCGCTTCGTAAATCCACCTTCCCCAGCCTCTAGCCAGGCTAACCCAGGCCACATGGAGTGATCTCCCCTTGCAGTGGCTCCCTGCAAGGCTGTTTTAAGTACACCTACACTTAAGCTATGTACAGGTGCTGCAAACATTCAAGAAAATGGTAAAAATTCAATGACAGTTGGTCACATCTGATAGAGTTTTATCTCAACAGCTTTTTTCTTTCTTTTCTCCTTCCAAAGATCCAAGTGAACCACAAGGAACAGATGTGAATGTTTCAATCTCCATGTCGGACATCTACAAAGCATTATGAGCATCAACAGGTGTCATGTGATTCACAGGTACACAATCTGCATCAGCAACAGAACAGCCTGGTGATGTGTGAGGGGTGTCTGACGGAATGGCCTGTTGATGTGCGTGGGGGTCTGACAGAATGGCCTGTTGATGCGTGAGGGGGGTCTGACAGAATGGCCTGGTGATGTGTGCGGGGGTTCAGACAGAACGACCTTTTGATGTGTGCGGGGGGTGACAGAATGGCCTGTTGATGTGTGTGCGGGGGCTGACAGAATGGCCTGTTGATGTGTGCAGGGGTCTGACAGAATGGCCTGTTGGATGTGTGCAGGGGTCTGACAGAATGGCCTGTTGGATGTGTGCATGGGTCTGACAGAATGGCTTGGTGATGTGTGAGGTGGGTCTGACAGAATTGCCTGTTGATGTGGTCGTCAGTTAAGTCCAGCCTGTGATGTCTCCTCCAAACAAGTCATCCTCCCTTCACGATGGGTTTGGGGAGAGTATTGAGGGTATTGTGGCACAGTACCCTGTACTTTACTCTGTACTGTTCTGCTTCCACGAACCCTTGATAAAACCACGTACACTGTTCTGCTACCACTAACCCTCGATAAAACCACTACACTGTTTTGCTACCACTAACCCTCGATAAAACCGAGTACACTGTTCTGCTACCACTAACCCTTCATAAAACCATGTACACTGTTCTGCTACCACTAACCCTTCATAAAACCATGTACACTGTTCTGCTACCACTAACCCTTCATAAAATCATGTTTACTGTTCTGCTACAACTAACCCTTCATAAAACCATGTATACTGTTCTGCTACCACTAACCCTTCATAAAACCATGTTTACTGTTCTGCTACCACTAACCCTTCATAAAACCACGTACACTGTTCTGCTACCACTAACCCTTCATAAAACCATGTTTACTGTTCTGCTACCACTTACCCTTCATAAAACCATGTACACTGTTCTGCTACCACTAACCCTTCATAAAACCATGTACACTGTTCTGCTACCACTAACCCTTCATAAAACCATGTACACTGTTCTGCTACCACTAACCCTTCATAAAATCATTACTGTTCTGCTACCACTAACCCTTCATAAAACCATGTTTACTGTTCTGCTTCCACTAACCCTTCATAAAACCATGTACACTGTTCTGCTACCACTAACCCTTCATAAAACCATGTTTACTGTTCTGCTACCACTAACCCTTGATAAAACCATGTACACTGTTCTGCTACCACTAACCCTTGATAAAACCATGTTTACTGTTCTGCTTCCACTAACCCTTGATAAAACCATGTACACTGTTCTGCTACCACTAACCCTTCATAAAACCATGTTTACTGTTCTGCTACCACTAACCCTTCATAAAACCATGTACACTGTTCTGCTTCCACTAACCCTTCATAAAACCATGTACACTGTTCTGCTACCACTAACCCTTCATAAAACCATGTTTACTGTTCTGCTTCCACTAACCCTTGATAAAACCATGTACACTGTTCTGCTACCACTAACCCTTCATAAAACCATGTTTACTGTTCTGCTACCACTAACCCTTCATAAAACCATGTACACTGTTCTGCTTCCACTAACCCTTCATAAAACCATGTACACTGTTCTGCTACCACTAACCCTTCATAAAACCATGTTTACTGTTCTGCTACCACTAACCCTTCATAAAACCATGTACACTGTTCTGCTACCACTAACCCTTCATAAAACCATGTTTACTGTTCTGCTACCACTAACCCTTCATAAAACCATGTACACTGTTCATACAGACATGGAACACTAACATTCAATGCCTTTTCAATTCAAGCCTTTACAAGGCCGCCAACTGTCATTTTGAAGGCTTTGTAAGTTGGGTTATTGGCCTTAGGTTGTCAATATATTTTTTTAATCCAGCAAACTATATATCAGTCGAAAGACCTAAAAAGCAATTTGACCATCACACATTTTCCAACAAGATTTATTTTTGACACCCCCAAAACATAAATTAAGTCTGTCATGAAATCTTCAGGGTCTTTGGCACAGAAATCTATCACTGATAAACTTCTTTGTGTGCTGTAATACTTTGATTAACAAGTATATGTCAATTTCTACAAATTCAAGGCTTTTGAAGCTAAATGGTGATTTTCAAGGCTTTTCAAAGTTGACACTAAAAATCAAAGCTTTTCAAGGTTGACACTAAAATTCAAGGCTTTTCAAGAGGGACCTGAAAATTCAAGGCTTTTGCAATGGTATATGGGCCCTGATGTACACTGTTCTGCTTCCACTGACACAATGTTGCCAACGCCATGCACTCGGCACTCACAGGTCATATGCTAGAAGATGCAACACTCACAAAGACATCTTGAAAACAAACTTTTCATCACAACATTTTGACACAAACCCTCTTATCAAAGAAAGATTTCAACATGAAATTTCAATTTTTGCCCAAAGCAGCATGCATCCATTGAAGAAAACAATCTTGTGCCATGCTTTGAAAAGAAACATCTCAAACTTCACGGTTTGAACTTCTCCTCATTTTGTAAAGTGGGTGAGCTTATTACGTTATAGAGGGGTGTGGAATAACAGCAGTGCGAAAGTGAGAAGTGGAAGAATCCATCTGCTGGGATCAAAAGGGCTTCCGATTCTAAACATCCCTCAGGATGGCATAATTCTGCAGCTCTTCAAAAATGTTGATTAGAAAAGCAAATGTTAAATACCGTTCTCTGTTGGGCACTACACAGGCTGAAGACATATTGACAGCATCTCGAACCTCGGGAGAAGTGTTTTCTCCCAATCTGTAGAGGTTGCAAAGTAACTATTTCATAACAGATTCAAGGATTTGAGAGTAATCTTCAATGTCTGACATGGAGGTCTAGATTTCAATTGGGGAAAGTACCCTTCCTGGAAATTACTTCCAATAAAAAAAATTAAATTCTCAAATTGAGAATACCCCAAGGAGACTTAAGTTAATTCATTCCCAAAAGAGTAATAACACCATAGGAATATACAGCAATTCAATATAATATCTATAAAGTCTGCACTGAAATCAATATGAAATAGATTACAGAAACACATGCACATGGTGTGATACAGTTGAGGAAACTGACAACCAGTGATGGTAACAGCACAAGAGACAACTTCTAGCCCCAGTAATACCTCCACTCAACAACATCACCAACCCTAACATGCTTTATCTGTCAATGAAGCTAATCCTAATCCTAATCCTAGATGGGGACGGCATGGATATAACATCGAGGTGGGACAGCATGGATATAACATGGAGATGGGAACATGGATATAACATAGAGATGGGACAGCATGGATATAACATGGAGATAGGACAGCATGGATATAACATGGAGATGGGACAGCATGGATATAACATGGAGATGGGAACATGGTTATAACATGGAGATAGGACATGGATATAACATGGAGATAGGACATGGATATAACATGGAGTGGGACAGCATGGATATAACATGGAGATGGGACAGCATGGATATAACATGGAGATTGGACAGCATGGATATATCATGGAGATGGGGACGGCTTGGATATAACATGGAGATGGGGACGGCTTGGATATAACATGGAAATGGGGACGGCATGGATATAACATGGAGATGGGACAGCATGGATATAGCATGGAGATAGGTCATGGATATAACATGGAGTGGGACAGCATGGATATAACATGGAGATGGGACAGCATGGATATAACATGGAGATGGGACAGCATGGATATAGCATGGAGATAGGTCATGGATATTACATGGAGTGGGACAGCATGGATATAACATGGAGATAGGTCATGGATATAACATGGAGATGGGACAGCATGGATATAACATGGAGATGGGACAGCATGGATATAACATGGAGATGGGACAGCATGGATATAACATGGAGATGGGACAGCATGGATATAACATGGAGATGGGACATGGATATTACATGGAGATGGGGATGGCATGAATATAACATGGAGATGGGACATGGATATAACATGGAGACGGGACAGCATGGATATAACATGGAGATGGGACATGGATATAAC